ATATTTGTAGAAAAGTTTAACATTAGCTTTGGTTATCCTCGTGAAGATACATGCTCCACATGTGACAAGCTCAATATTATACTTAAAAACCAAAGCACCTCTGTAGAACAACTCATCAAGAGTGGTCAAGAAAAAGAGCTTTACTTGCGGAAAGCAGAGATGTTTTATGCCAGAAAGAAAGAAGCACATTGTAATGGAAAAAATGGCATGCAGCTTTTGCATTTGGTTTTGCTAAAAATATGAGTTGTCCTAATGTTTCTACAAACAAGATTTATTATCGTAGACAGATTTCTATGTACACATTTAATATACACTGATTAGAATCAAACAGTGCTCACTTATTTTGTTACGATGAAACTTACGGTAAAAAAGGAGCAGATAATGTAGCAAGCATGCTGGAGCACTATTTTGACTACATTTTACCAAAGGATATATCACATTTGCAGCTTTTTTGTGATTCATGTGCTGGGCAAAATAAGAATTGGACTATTATTCGTTTTTTACACTTTAATGTAGTGAATAAGAAAAGATTTCAACAAATCGTATTATCATTCCCAATAAGGGGCCACAGCTACATGGAGTGTGAATATGATATGGGATTAGTTAAACAAAAGGTTCAAGCAGAGCAACCAATAAATTGGATGGAAAAGTTATATATATATATGTATATATATATATATATATATATATATATATATATATATATATATATATATATATATATATATATATATATATATATATATATATATATATATATATATATATTTGATTAACATCTGAGTTTATTTCATAATAAGTTTGTATTTATTTTTTTGTCATACTAATTTGTAACTTATATATTCAATTATCTATATAAACTTATAAAAAGATATGGTTTTTAATAAATCTTAAGTTAAAATATAATCTTTAATTAGAAAAGATCACAACTCCTAAGATTATTTTATGTTTATTTATTACTTTAGTTTTAACAATAGTAATATATAACTGGTAATATATTAAATGATAATAGTGAAATTGAAACGGATAATATTAGAAGAAGTTATTAGTGTAAATGTTAATATTGCTTACTATTGAAACGTTTTTTTTTTAGTAAAATTATATGGTGTAAAAATTACTCTACTAATCAATAGGCGACTAGAAGATAATTGTTATCGAAATGAAAGAGATATAGCTAGGTAAGATAAAACAAATTGTTATTGAAATGTAAGACTTTGAATGGTTTTAAACTTTTTTATAAATTCAAACATAATTATGTTCTTTTTTTTTAGTTGCCTTGGTCATCACTTGGTTAGTTTGCTTACTATTGAAACATAATTTTTTTTTTTAGTAAAATATATATGATGAAAAAATTACTCTAATAATCATTAGTCAACAGTTAATGAGAAAGAATACATAATTAAGTTAAAAATAATTTTGTTTACTGGTAACACAATTCTTTGTCCATCCAAGCCCAAATAGATTCAATTAGATTCAAATATGGTGATCGAGTGGTTAGGGCAAAAAATCTACTTTGTAATCTTTCATTAATGTTTTTACTATAGGGGCTGTGTGGACGAGGCCAAATCTTGGTGAAATTGCCACCATTCCTTTAGATAAATCAGTATGTCCACTAATGGAACAATGCAGTTCTTTAGCGTCTCTATATATGTTACACACACCTATTCTGTTAAAACTAAAGCAGTCCCAAATACTAAAACTCTTGCCACCACCTTGCAACCTCGGTACAACAAACCAAATATTATGCTTTTCCAGTTCAAATCTTTTATTGAGAAATTTTTCAAATCTTTTATTAAGAAGCTTTTTCTATTTATTACTTTGAAGTTACTTTCATCAATAAAAATTACTAGCATTCTCTTCTCCAAAGACCACCCAATTCTCTCCTTACACCACCTTAACCTTGTAAACTGATATCTGACTGCCAGCATAGGTTTTCTAACAGCTGCACAAACACCAATTTTTTCCTTAGTAAAATGTTTCTAACTGTATTTGAAGAAATAGGTTTTTCACGGTTTTGGTTGAATGTGTCAGTAACTTCACAACAACTTAACCACAGATTGTAATAAATGACCGGGGCTGGTATTTCAATGTGGCCAAGGCTGTTCTTACAGACAGGACTGCATAAACATTGGTGCATATTGACTTTTTTTACATATCATATCAATATGCACCAGTATTTATACAGCCCTAGCCATAGACCCGGCTTTGGCCCAGGTCAAATACCAGCCCCAGTCGTTTACTAACAGATTGGCTTTTACTTGACAAACTTTTACTTTTACTTTTTCTTGTGTTCAGTAAACTTAAAAAAAACTTTGAAACTTTTATGATTCTGCGTGAGGTTGGTCTTTTAATGTATATCTTGTTGTATATGTTGGTCTTTTAGAGTATATCTTATGCAATTATCTGAAATTTTTAATTTACTTGCTACGTCTCAATTACTAATCATTGAGACATCATTGAGCCTTCATACCTATTATTTGCCACTGTGTTGCTTTGCTTACTGCTTTTCGAACAAATTCTATGAATCTTAACTTTTAGGTTTTATCAAAATATTAAAAAAGGCTTTAAATGTGAATAAACTGGTCATCATAAGTAAATTTATTCAACCTTTTATTAAAATTTTATCCAACCTTTTATAAGAAATCACCAAATTGAAATATAAGTTAATAAAATAATTTTGAATAACAGTTGGGTTGAAAAGAAAGTAGAAAAAAAATCAATAAAAAAGTTTGTGCATCTCTTTTTTTTTTGTGGTATGTTTTCCATATTCCTATAAGAGAAGTAAATTATTAAAAAAAAAGTTAACTTATTTTTAATATGTTAATTGTAGAAAAATATTTTTCCTATTTTTAAAAAAAACAACAAAGCCTTTAGCAAATATATATGGGTTTTGATAATGTATTTAAAAAGAAAATAAACTCAACATTTTACTGCATTCCCCCCCCCCCCCAAAAAAAAAAAAAAAACAAACAAAAAAAAACAAACAAACAAACTCTGTGTGTATGTGAAAAATAGAAGCATAACATGCAAGGAGTGTTGTTATTTTGACTGACAAATACAGCTATTCACGAAAGTTTAAACGAGAGTGTAATTTTGATCAAGTAGGTTTATTTTTTTCTTAAAAAAAAAAATTAAAAAAAATGATGACGACTTTGTTTTTAAAATTACACCCTTTTTTTTATTTGTTAAATAAAAAGTAATTTGGTTTAGAATAAATGTGAACTTGTTATGAAATGATTTATATAAATTTAAAAAAAGTTAATTACAAACATAAACATGTGAAAAATGAGTAGCACAAAAGTTTAAACGAAATTTTAAAAACAAATAAAAAATGGAAATAAAATGCTAAGTTAATATTTAAAATGTCTATCTTTGTTTTTATAGCAAAGGTAAACTTGTTTTTGCATTGATTCAACTAATTTCATGCACATCTCTCGAGGTACCTTCAACCAGTACTCATTCAAAAGTTGCTTTAAGTGCTCAGTTGATTGTATTTGGTATTAAGTTGATTGTCAATCCAAGACTAAATATTCTCAATTGGGTTGAAATCTGGTGATCTAGGGCACCAAGGGATCACATTTATCTTTTTCTGCAAAAAATATTCTTTGATTGATTTAGCTGTATAAGCTGGAGCCCTGTCTTGTTGAAAGATAAATTGCTTGCTTCTACCATACAACTGTCTGATTGATGGAACTAAACACGTTTCCAATGTATTTTTGTAGGTGTACTGATTTATTCGGCTTTCGTACAGCTCACACATACCGATACCTTTGTGAAAAAAACATCCCCAAATACCAATGGAACCTCCACCGCCTTGTCGACGTGGTTGCAAAAACCGTTCTGAATATTTCTCCGTTGCAAATCTTTTGACATATAGTCTTCCCTTGCGGTTTACAACTTGAAAATTAGCTTCATCACTCCAAATAACTTTTAACCAGTCTTCAACAGTCCAGCTTAATCTTTCTTTTGACCATATTCGTCGTTTACATCGGTCCATGATTGATAGGTTTTCTTGCTGCAATGTACATTCCAATACCTTTTTGCAGCAATGTTCGCCTAACGAGCTCTCTGCTTACATTATGTTTATTTTTCGACTCGTTGAAGATTTTTGCCCCAAGTTTTTACCTATTTGAACGTTGCTGTGAATTTTTGACTTAGACATACCAATAATTTGCCATTTGATCTCACTTGAAACTGGTTTTCGCCCCATTTGCACGCAATTTGAAATTGTTTGAAATTTGCAATGATTTCAGTTGATTTTCATTGAATATGAAGCTGTTGAATAATGTTGTGACGATTTTTATTGACTGAAAACCACTCAATCTACTTATTTTTATGTTTTAAAACAATTTTCGCAACGGATTAAATAATTACTTAACAAATAATTGAATTTTAACAAACTTGTTTAAACTTTTATGACACCAACTAATTTCTCACATCTATCTATTAATCAAATTCCCAAGAGATCACTTATGAGTCGAAACCTACTTTTTTTATTTATTTTTGATCAGAAAACCTAGTTACCGAATGGGGAAAAATTATTTTGATATCTATTTCCGTTACATTTTTATTAAAGAAAAACCAAAGATTTGTTCTTAAAATTACACCCTAGTTTAAACTTTCGTGAATAGCTGTAGGTAGAAAATGCGAAAAGTACTGCTACATCAACTGACAAATAAGTAGAACATGCGAGGAGTACTGCTACATCAACTGAGAGTTTTGGTTTGGGGAAATGTAAAAAAATTTTTTTTACTTTTATAAACCTTTTTGCAGTCTTAAATTTTTTTTTTTTAAAAACATAAAGTTTACATTTTATCATAAAAATTAAAGAAAATTACTATTAATAAAATACAAAAAAATATAACACAAATATATAAAATACTAATATATTAAACACAGATTTATAAAATAAAAAAAGACAAATGTATAAGATAAAAATATTATGTTGCATAAAATATAAAAATATAAAAAACACACAAAAAAACATAAATTTGGCAAACCTTCATTTGTAATAAAAGATCATCAACAGGCCGACGTTGAATCTCTGCTTCAGAAAAATCCTCAAACTCATTTTGAAATACAGCAGATGAATAAAGTCTATTTCAGTAATACAATTAAATAAAAATAAATACATACATTATTTTTAGTTTCTTACAACTATTGTAAATAATAATTTTAATTTAACTATATAAAGCGGTGAAATACTTTAGCCAAAGAAATATAGAAGAATATTGAAACCTAGAAGTAGTATCAAAAAAAGTCAGTTCTGATCTAAAAAACAGGTTAACACCAGAAAGAAGATCTGCTTGTAAAAAATAGCTATAACTCTACTGTAATCCGATATTTAAATAAGATAATTGGACTGACAAGAGTAAAACTATGACAAAAAAACTATTATTTTAGAAAATAATATTATCAATGATAACAATTATATTAGAAAAAAATAAATTATTTTAATAAATTGTTTTAGCCTCTAGCGCAAATGCATGTTTTTCAAATGAGTGCATATTATAAATAATCTGTGATTTTGTATAAAATGTATTTAGCAAATTTTTGAGCTGTTATTCAGCTTAATAACAAGTTAAATCCCAAAACTAAAGTCAATGACCCAAGTTTTTTAGTTAAGTAGACTAATAATAGTTTTTCTAAATTCTTATCAACCTTCTTTCAACCCAAAGTTTTAAAATAGTTTTTTTAAACCCTTCTTTCAACCCAAAGTTGAGAATGGTACTACCAGGGATGTAGTGGGAATGCAATTCTGAAATTTGCTTAAAAAGTGAAAACTACACCACTCCCACATGAAACATTAACAAAAGAACTATCAGCTTAAAAAGTTCAGTCTATGAAATGAGACAATAGCAAATACCTATAGCAGTGACCAGGACCAACACGACCAGCTCTTCCAGTTCTTTGGTCAGCTGATGCTTTTGAGGTCCAAGTAACCCTAAAAACAATTTTTGCATTTTTGAATTGTATATATATATATATATATATATATATATATATACATATATATATATATATACATATATATATATATATATATATATATATATATATATATATATATATATATATATATATATATATATATATATATATATATATATATATGTATGTATGTATATATATATATATATATATGTATTTATGTATATGTATATATATATATATATATATATATATATATATATATATATATATTAACATCTTCGCTTCCAACAAGACTGCAAGCAACCACTAATTAGTGTTGGAAGTTACTGGAAGAGAAAATATGAAGGTTGTAGAGCAAGATAACGATTGACAGACGACTTAAAATATTGCAAATTATATGAATCAGGAAAGCAAGATGGAAGCGAAATCCAAAGAACTGATGTTCGAGGAAAAAAACTAGACGAATAAGAGTTTTTGGAGCACTTAGGAACAGTTACAGAAAAAGGATGAGACTTAATTGAATGATGAGTAACACGAGAATGAATTTTAGTAGATGGCACAAGAGACGCTAGCTCTTTAGAGCAGTGCCCATTATTGTATTTGTAGAAAAGAGAAAGAGAAGCAACATTACAACGATGTGACAGAGGTTGAAGGTTGGCTGCAAGAGCAGGTCCAACTATGTTTACAATGCGTTTTTGCACCTTGTCTAAAAGAGAAAGGCCATCATTAGAAGATCCACCCCAGATATGGCAACAGTATTCCATACAAGGCCGGATTTGAGATTTATAGAGATAGAGAATTGAATCCAGAGTAAGAAAGTGACGAGCTCGATAAAGAGAAGCGACTTTAGCAGATGCTAATTTTGCAACGGATTTGATATAAGGTTTCCAAGAAAGATCAGAAGTAAAAGTTAATCCTAGAAGATGAAGGGTAGATGACTCATCGAGTACATTACCATTCATAAATACAGGAAGGTCTAAATTATTGCGATATCGGTTGGCTGAAAAAATTGAGTTTTATCTGAATTAAAGTTCACCAGCCACTGTGAGTCCCATGCTGTAGCAGAAGTGAGATCCTTTTCAAGCTCAAATGCCCCCTGCAAGCAATCAGAGGGAGTTGGCTTCTTATCGTGACAAGAATAAATGGTAGTATCATCAGCGAACAATGCCACCTTTGATGTGTAAATATCTGGAAGATCGTTAATGTAAATTAAAAAGAGTATAGGGCCAAGGATTGAACCTTGAGGAACCTCTAAAAATAGAATAAGAAGAAGAGTGCTGTCCATCAAGGACAACTTTTATACTATGATTGGAAAGCAAGAATTCAATAATCTTAAAGATGTTTGCAGATACACTGTAAGAAGAAAGCTTATGGAGAAGACCAGCATGCCAAACTTTATCAAATGCTTTAGAAATGTCAAGAGCAATGGTCTTAACCTCTCCACCTTTATCTAATGCATGATAAAATCTACCGGTTATTACTGTTAGCAAATCAGCCGTAGAACGAGAAGATCGAAATCCATATTGATGATCAGAAGGTAGGTTATGAGATTCAAGATGAAAGATTGTTTGTTAATTAAAGATTCAAAAACCTTGCTTATGATAGGAAGAAGACTAATGGGACGGTAGTTAGATGAATCGGATCGCTCTCCAAAACTTTTAAAAATAGGGATAACAGATGCTGCTTTCCAGCAGGCTGGAAAACAAGGCTCTGATAAGCACTTATTAAATAGTTTTAAAAGGATAGACGACAGCTCCGGAGAACACTTCTGCAAGACAATAACAGGTATGTTGTCCGGCCGCAAGCTGTAGAAGAGTCTAAGCAGGAAATCACTTTAGATACAGAAGCTGGAGTGATATGGATGTCGAGCAATGGATCAAACTGTTTGACGGCTATATCAGGTAGAGCGCAACTAGTGGAATCAAGAGATGATATTGATGAAAAGTTCTTAGCAAACAATTCAGCTTTGTCTTTAGGTGAGGTGACAAAGTCTGAACCATACAAAAGAGGTGGAATTACAGACTTGCCCTTATTATTGATACTATTAAAGATTCTCCAGAAGTCACGAGAGCCTAACTTTTGTGATGAAATACAAGATTTTATGATCTGAGAATAGCGGGCTTTGGCGTTAGACAAAACCTTTTTACAATGGTTCTTAGGAGTAATAAACAGACGTCTGTTTTCTGGAGAATTGTTTTGCTGATAGATATGGAAGTAATGGTTTCGATTGGCAATTGCAGAAGCACAATGCGAGGAAAACCATGGAGAGGAGTGAGGCTTGACCTGTAATCGTCGAAAGGGAATAAAGGATTCCATGCCAGCCTGAATCCACGAAGTTATGTAAGAAGCACATTTGTCAATAGGAAGACGAAAGATTTCTACCCAGGGGTTATAACGAAGAAAATCAGGGAAAGAGTTCCAGTCAGCTTTAAGGTAGTTGTAAGATGTACAATGATAGGGGGATTCTGATGATAAAGAAGAATGAGATAATAGTTTTAGAGAGACCAAACCATGATCAGACGCACCTAAGGGTGAGTGTGGAGAAACTGAGCACTGACTAGGATCAGAAACAAGACATAAGTCGAGTAGAGAAGGTAAATGATTCGGGTTATCTGGAAAGCGAGTTGGAAAGTTGACTATTTGAGCTAGGGATTGAGAAAGGCAAAAGTTGTGGGCCTTAATGCCTGCAGAGTCACTGACACTTGAGCCAAGCCATTCAGTGTGATGAACATTGAAGTCACCAACAACAACAATATTGGCTGATAGATAAAGAGAGAGGGCTTGGTCAATATGATCAGAAATAACATCAAGAAGAGTGCAGTCTTGAGATGAGGGAGAGCGATATAGAACAAAGAGAAAGATGATAGAGTGAAGTGGTGCTAAACGAAAGCACATAAAAGAGTAGTCTGTGGATTCAAACCTAGTTTCCCAACAAACGGGTGAATACTTACGAATGTAAATGCCCAGGCCAAGCATGTGACTTTTGGAGTCTTTACGAATTAAAGAAGATAACCATCAACACTAAAATCACAAGATGAGACAGCTGAACTCAAATTAGTCTCACAAAGAGCAAGTAGATCTGGTGAACTTTGCAAGAGATAAGACTCAACAGAAGAAAAGTTACTTCAAAGACCACAAATATTAGTGAATGATAGGTTTAGCGAACTTGGTAATGACTGTGGTTTTTTGAATTTTATCGTTTTTGTTACATTATTCATTTTTAAATTTGTTAAAGAACTTGACTCGAAACATTGATAGTACTCAGTACACTGTTTTATAGCCCAATCAATTGCTTCATTTCTATTAATAAACCCTATGCCGTAACAAAGGGCTCCAATGTGGCCTTGGCAATGCACAACAAAAGTACAAACAGGGACACCATCCATGCGAAACATGGCACTGTTAGTACTTTGATATTTTTCAGCTGTTGATGGAATCAGCCTCTCTGAGAGCTACTACAGAGTTCGGGAAACCTGACTACCAGCCGGCCTCAGAACCATAAAACTGAGTTTTAGAGCTGTACCCTCATTTGGAGATAATAGAATGAGTTGCCTAGTCATAAAAACAGAGACACAAGCAAAACCCATGCATCAAGTCAAGAAGATCCATCATTCAACATCCTAAACTGGAAACAATGTATTAAAAATACATCTGCGCCAGCCTATTAGATGAAGAAGGGGTGCAAGGCTGGTCAACAGATAGAATCTGTTTACCCCTTAAAATATATATATGTGTGTATATATATATATATATATATATATATATATATATATATATATATATATATATATATATATATATATATATATATATATATATATATATATATATATATATATATATATATATATATATATATATATATATATAAATTAGTAGAAAATCACTTGACAAAAATTTTTTTTTCATTTTACACTGTGTTTCATCAACAAAGACTCATCAGAATTTTTTTTTTTCTGATGAGTCTTTGTTAATGAAACACAGTGTAAAATGAAAAAAAATTTTTTGTCAAGTGATTTTCTACTAATTTATATATATATATATATATATATATATATATATATATATATATATATATATATATATATATATATATATATATATATATATATTCATATATAAATATATATAAGCCTTCATGATGCATGTATGTAAATATGTTTTTTTGTGTGGTTATTAAGGTGCTCCCAGAAGTCCTAAGGGTCTTATTACAGAGCACCATGGAAAAGCATGTAACTATAAATATATAAGTTCGCCTATCGTATTAGAACCAGCATTGAACCTTGGACCTCTTGGTTCTGAGCCAGAAACCATCCCGTTACAGCTTCAAATGTACATATATACATGTATGTATGCATGTATATATGTATGTATGTAAGTTTGTATGTATTTATGTATGTATGTATGTATATGAATATATATATCAAGCCTTCTCAAGAGACGCGTACAGTCTCATACTTTTTATGACCATGCGTATATTGAGATGTATTGACAACTTGGCCACGGCTCCTTGCACAATTAAGTTAGCCAGTTTAAAAAATGCATAGAATAAACAAATAAAAACTTAAAATAAAATTAAAAATAAACAAACTATTAACTGGAAAAAAGAATTAAAAATTAAAAAAATATATATATATACAAAACTTAAGTAAAAAAATAAAATCTCAACAATTATTTATATAATAAAATCTAATATAGAGTAAAATCTAATAATAAAATAAATAAAAAATAAACTAGAAAAAATAAAAGCATAAAATTAATATTTTAATTTTAATTTAAAAGTGTTTCAAAGCATTAGAAAAAATTGAAGTTTCAAAGTTATTTAATCCAAGCTTAATTAATTCGAAACTTAATTATTTAAAAACTTTGAAACTTTGATATTTTATAATGTCTACAAAGCAAATAAAACATTAAAAAAATCTGTTAGTAGGATTTGAACTCTCATCAAATGCTGATATAGCAGTTGTGCCATAACAAATGATACAACCTAATTACACACAACCTATCAATCAACGGCAGTGCTACACCAATGTGGCGATATAGGAAAAATTATTAGCTTTAAAATATTAATTTTAACACTTTTAACCTAATTAAATTTGAACTATTAATTGAGACACTTCTCAATTAAAAAATATATAAGTTTTATGCTTTTATTTTCTCTAGTTAATCCTTTATTTATTTTATCACTTGCTAAATTTGTTTCTCTTTTCAGTTTGTGGTTTGCTTATTTTTAATTTTCTCTTTAAATTAATATGGTTTTTTCAGAGCATTCTGTAAAACATACAATTTAAGTGACCAGGGCCTGGCTAAATATGAAGCTTTTTTTAAACCTGAACCCAGCCCTGGCAAAATTATAAGATTCAGCAGAGGTTGACAGCCATGGCTTGGAAACAATTTATAATACATTATATCTGAAAATTTATGCATATATTTACTATTAATTAAATACTGACATTTTTTTAAACTAATTCACTTCCAACAAGGTTTTAAATTCAAGGTTAAGATTCAAGATCATCTAAGCAACCAAAATGTGAAGAATTTTTGTCAAGAAATGACTTTAGTAACGAAAGCTGGAGTGATTTAGATATCTACCAACAGGTTGTTTTTTTTATTATTCTGATTCACTCCCAAAATAGCTGCAAGAAACCACTATTATGTTGGGAGTTACTAGAAAAAAAAAAAATAGAGTTACAGAGCAAGGAAACGGTTGACTGAAGAATTAAAAAGTTGAAGGTTGTAAAATTTACAAGCCACTATGAGCCCAATCAGTTACAGAAGTGAGATCAGATTCAAGATTGGCTGCCTGTTCTAAGCAATCAAAATAAGAAGACTTTTTGTCAAGACAGGAGAATAAAGTTCAGTCATCAGAAAAAAGAGTTACTTTAGATGTAAGTTTGTCGGGAAGATCATTAATTTAGATAAGAAACAAAATAGGACCAAGGATAGAACCTTGAGGTACTTCAGAAGTTACTGGAATTAAAGAATAGTGTTGACCTTTAACGATAACTTTAATAAAGCAGTTAGAAAAAAACGATTTGATAATCTTAAAAACTTTCCCAGATACATCATATGAAAGAAGACCAACATGCAAAACTTTGTTGAAAGCCATAGATATGTCAAGAGCAATAGCCCTAGCCTCTTCGGTTTTATCAAACATAAATAATTATATCCATATATATCCATATTATGTAAAAAATATTAATGTGATTTTGTACTAATAATAATTATAATAATAATAAAATGTTTTGATCAAATATTGCTGAAAAACTCAAATTCGCAAAATTTTTGAACTCATCAAAAGTTGTTACTTTTTTAATCAATTAAAATATGTTGATTAATTTATCATCCAGCTTCGACTGCTAAAGTTGTATCTCGATTAAACTCTTCTATGGCTTGTCATATCTCAATTTTCTCTAAACTATTTAAAAAATTATGCATACATAATATGGATATATATGGATATAATTATTTATGTTTGCTATTTGCTACATGCTGGCATACGATATCCTTACAAAATTATATAAATTTTAACATTTATATGGCATAACGTTTGACCAAGACCAAAGATGATCATAAGATGGGAGTGTATTATCTTATAAAGTCAAGAAAAGATGCCATAATCTTAGACAGTAATTAGAAGTAGTGAGTGTTTTAGACAAGATTTGTCAAAGAAGATATTAGATGAGCAATGAAGATTAAGGTATGTTGAGCAATGAAGATGCAGATAATTGGGTATTAGCATGTAAAGAAGTCCCAGCTTCAGGAGAAAAAGTAGAAGTAGGAAAGCCTGGAGCAAGTGTGTTACATATGGTAAGAACAAGCTTCAGTTAAGAAAAAAAGATGCTTGAATTATTTATATAAAAGAAACAGCATAAAAAGGAAAGGCAAAAGTGATGATAGTGATAATCTCAATGATGATCATGATGAGGTTTGTATATAAATATACATGTGTATATATATATATATATATATATATATATATATATATATATATATATATATATATATATATATATACTCAAATATAACATGAATTTCAAATAAAATATATTTTAGGATATACACCCAGCCCCAACTGTCTTTTATCAATACTGGCCCCAGCTGTTTTTTATGCTTTTCACCTCTCCAAGGTCGAGAAGGCCACTACAATTGAAGTGGCTATATTATTGTAGTTACAACCCTCTCTTAATTCTTTAGCTCCAAAACACAAACCTTGACAAACAAGATTACTACGCGAAGAAACAAGTTAAGCGCAGTACTGCCAGGGAGATGGTGGGCATCAAACTCAGAACTACACGCATACCACTACCGCATTTTCAAACAATTTTTATTTCAGTAAGTTAATTTTTTAGTTTAGTAAGTTATAAGTTATTAGTTATACCAAAGATGCTTATTTAATTTTATCAATTTTTCACGAATTTGCAAAGTGTGTACAAATTAATAATAACTATTAAGCAATGACCTAATGATTGTAAACTGTTATCAATTGATAACAGTTTACAATCATCAGTTTACTTTCACTTTTAAGAAAATGAAAAATTAAAAAAAAAAGAACGCTATAGAATGTATGTAAAAAAGTGCCCTGTATGTATTTATGTATGTATGTATGTATGTATGTATGTATGTATGTATGTATGTATGTATGTATGTATTTATGTATGAAAAAAAGTAAATATATGTGTGAATATAAACTTTATGTTACAATAAACAACAAATATAAATAATATCTTCATAAATATCAAACAATAAAATTACATAAAGATAAATAAAATAACTAAAAAATCTAAAAATTCATATGAATTCACATCAAGAAGAAAGAATATATCTTTGTTATTTTAAAAGAAAAAGCAGAACTTACCTAAAAGTAGACATTCCAGTTATTTTGTCATAAAATCTTTTTTTTACCTAGAGGAAACCTAATGTTTACATAAAAAGTATTGAAGAAACACAAAAAGCAAACTTAAAACAAAAAGTTTCTGCAAACCTTTCCGCAATCAACAATATATTTAATTCCAGGGATAGTTAATGAAGTCTCTGCAACATTTGTTGCTACTACGCATAAACGAAAACCAGATGGTGGAGATGAAAACACCTGAGATAAAATAAAATATATAAACATGTAAATATATTAACTTTTTTTATTTATTTGAAATTTGTTTTTTTTAAAAAAAAAAAAAAATCTTTCATCAAGGTTGCAAGGTTGTCACCATTAAGTTGGGAGTTACTAAAAAACGAAGAATAGAGTTAAAGAGCAAAAGAAAAGTTGAAATCTTGAAAAGTTGTAGGTTTTATGAGTCAGGAAAACATGAAGATGTGGAGAAAAAACTAGACAAACAAAAGTTTTTAGAGCATGCAGGGACAGATACAGTTAAAGGATTGCAACTTTGCTGTATGACAAGTTGTGTGAGAGTTTTAGTCGATGGAACCAGAGATAATAGCTCTTTTCAGCAGTGACCATGATAGTATTTGTAGAAATGAGTAAGAGATGAAACTTTATAATGATGGGAGAGATGCTCAAGCTTGGCAGATGAGCAGGTCCAACTTTGTTTACCATGCATTTTTGGACCTTTTCTACAAGAGAAAGAGCATTATTAGAAGAATCAGTCCAAAATGACAACAGTATTCCATACAGTGATAAAAAGAGATTTTTAGATGTAGAGAATAGAATCAGGAAGAAGATAATGGTGAACATGATTGAATACATGGTTTTCATGAGGTCAGTAGTTATTGATAATCAAAAGAAGACTTTAAGACCAGGACTCAGAAAGGGTTGCCTTTTATTAATATAGGAATGTTGAAAGAATTGCTATAGTTGTTTGCTGTAAGTAATTGATTTTTATTGAAGTTAAAAATCACAAGCCACTGCAAGCCCTAGTGAGATCAGATTTAGGATTGGCTGCCTATTCTAAGCAATTAAAAAGAAATTTTTTTTTGTGAAGACAGGAGTATAGTTGAGTTGTATAAACATAAGTTGAGTCTTCAGCAAATAGATGAACTATTTTAGATAAAAGGTTGTAAGGAATATTATTAATGTAGATAAGAAATAAAACAAGACCAAGGAAAGAACCTTGAGGAAGCCCAGATGTTACTGGAAATAAAGTTGTTACTGTATGTTACTGGAAATGAAGTTGTTCTTCGAAGATGACTTTAATACTGTGGTTAGAAAAAAATAATTTGAATATCTCAAAAATATTCCCAGATACAACATATGCAGCAAACTTGTGAAGAAAACCAGCATGCTATAGTTTGGCATGCTGGTCTACTGTCATGAAGATGAAAGAATGAATTGAAAAGCAACAGCCCTTGAATGTCAAGAGCAATAGCCCTTGCCTCGCTGTTTCTATCTAACGTACAACAGAATTTTTCAGTCACAGCAGTAAACAAGTTAGCTGTAGAACGAGAAAATTGAAAACCATATTGATTGTCAGACAGTAAGTTATTTGATGTTAGAACTTTGTTAATCAAAAACTCAAAGATCTTGCTAATAATAGAAAGAAGACAGATCAGACAATAGTTGGAGGGATCAGAATGTTCTCCAGAGATTTTGAAAACTGGAACCACACATGCCATTTTCCAGTAGTCAGGAAAACAAGATTCAGTCAAGCACTTATTAAATAAGCCAAAGAAGAGTTCAATTGAGATATAACTTGAGCAATGGTAGCAAAGGTGATTTGAACGTCTAACAACAGGTTAAACTATTTAACTGGTAATTTAACTGGTTCTTTGCAAATAGTTCTGTCTTATCTTTAGAAAAGGTAATAAGAACAGTCCTATAAATTAGTGATGGAATGTTAGACCATGGAATGTTAGACGCACCTTTGTTAATGACACTGTTGAAGTTTTTCCAAAAGTCTCTAGAGCTTAACTTTTGAGATTAAATTTTAGATTAAGATTTATTAAACTGAGATTAATGAGCTTAGCATCAGACAGCACCTATTTACATTGATTTTTTGCAATAATAAATAAATGTTTGTTTTCAAGAGAGTTGTTTTTTTGAAAAAGATGAAAAAAATGATTAAGATTAGATATAGCAGCTGTAAAAAAAAAGGTAAAAACCTTTAGAGTAGAAGATGAGATGAGACTAGACTTGGAATTGACAAGAAGAAATGAGACTTGACTTGGAACCAACAAGAAGTTTTTATACCTAGGTAGATCCATGAGGTTATGTAAGAGGTTCATTTATCAGCTAAGAAAAGAAAAACATCAGCCCAAGGACCATCACAAAGAAAATCACGAAAAAAATCCCAGTCAGCTTTCGGGTGATAGTAAGTACCGCAATTATAGGGTGAATCCAAAGATTTAAAGAGATCATTGCATGGTTGGAACCACCTAAAGGAGAACAACGAAAAACTCAACACAAACTAGGGTCAGAGAAAAGACACAAATCAAGGAGTGATGTCTGGAAAACTAGTCACAAAGTTAACTATCTGAGAAAGAGATTGAGAAATACAGAATTTATGGTCTTTAGTACTAGCAGTGTCAGTGGTGTTAGAGCCGAGCCACTTAGTGTGATGAGTATTAAATTCTCCAATAACAACAATATTGGCAGAAGAGAAAAGATAAATGGCATGGTCAACTTGATCAGAAACTACAAAATGCAAGCTTGAGTAGAAGTAGACAACAAAAAACAAAGGTGATAGAGTGAAGAGGTGGAAGCCTATAAAAGCGGAAGCGGAAGCATATAAATGAATGATCAGAGGATTAAAATCTGATTTCTCAACAAATAGGTGAATTATGTGTAAGTAAATGCCCAAGCCTATATGACTATTGAAGTCTTTGCAAATCAAAAGATAGTACCCATCAATACTGAAATCTAAAGAAGGAACAGCAAATTTAAATTAGTCTCACCAAGAGCAAATAATTCTAGTGAATTTTGCAAGAGGTAAGATTCAACTGAAGAAAAGTTACTTCAAAGACAACGAATATTTGTAAAAGATATATCGAAACAGTTAGGTGGTGGGGATGGTTTTTTATGTTTAATATTTCTAGTCACTTTAGGAATAGTTTCAGTTTAAAAAGAACTCATTTATAGATAGAGCAATAAGCAATAAGCTATGCAGTTGCAAGAAGATAGAGCAATGAGCTATGCAGTTCAAGCAATGAGCTATGTAGTTGACTCAGTTCTGCTAATTAACCTCAAGTCAAACAGTAGGGCTTCTTATGTGGCCTTGACGATGCACACCAAAAGCATTAACAGGGATATTTTTCATGACATTGTTATCACTTTGTTTAAAAGAAAACTTGCAAAAAAACTGTAAGTAGAATCAAGAAGATCTAACATTCATCATTCTAGGTATTTTGTAATTTTTACAATGTAAAACAGGTTTATTTCTATGCCAGCCTAATAGATATAAAGCTAATAGATATAAAAATATTCACCCCTAAAGGGGTGAATATTTTTATAGAGACACCATCTCTAGCCTATACTCAACCAAGAGCCCTAACGGAGGAGAATTTTAAATCAGAGTTTATTTCTCCAATTTCTTGCTTAGAAAAGCCAACCCTACAAGGCAATAGAGAGTGGGGCAGGTAATACTTGGTTACATGATATCAGTAGCAGTGCGATTGTGGTGATTCTGATCTTTACTTGACCTTGAGTAGGTAAAAAAAGTTACTTCCTGTAAGCAGTACTTTATAACATTGAGCAAAATATTTTGGAAGTGCATTAGGAAAAAAATTACATCTAATGGAATACAGGAAGTGAAGGTGAGCATAAGTTTTATAATTGGAGTTGGTAACTGAGCTCACATTACATCAGAGGTTTAAGCTGTTTTAGAGTTTTTATTTAAAATATTATATTTTAATATTAAAAATAAAACTTAAAATTGAAAATAATAGAGAAAAATGTTACATATAATTTAAAAAATAACTCTTTAAAAACTCTTGGGGACATAACATTGTTAAGTTAATAAATAAAAATTGTTTGAATTAAAAGTTTAAAATACTGCATATATTTTTCTTTCTCCAACAAACATGAACTCAAATAAATTTTGACTTTATTCAAAAATTTGTTTTGGTGTTTCGATTCATTGCAAGTATATATAACTGTCATATTACAATTTTGTAATATTTTTGTCACCAAATGCATTTAAGCTAAAAATAAAATTTTTATAAAGTTAATACATGATGTATGTTGTTAATACATGATGTTAATACATACTTTAATACTACAAGTCCAGTGGCTCGCTAGCTCTAAAAAATCCATAAAGGATTTTTCTAAAAATTTATGGGGTACTTTACCAATCATGCTTGATTTGAAGGCCCATAAATAAATTTTATAATGGCATGTAACTTAGACTAATTACATGACTTAGCACCTTAAAAAGCGCTGTAATAGTGATAGCTTTCAAACATTTAGGAGAATGTAGAAATGGATAATTGTTGAGATTAAAAAAAAATCAATAACTTTTTTTGCCTGACAGTTTTTAAAACAATATTTTGTGTTAAAAAATAATTTTTAAATGTTAAGTAACTTAAATAATATTTAATAAAACCTGATAACTTGTAAAACTAAAAATTTTAAATTATTTTAATTTTTAAAGTGTTCAACTTTTGTTCCGAAAAATGTGCATATAACTATTTTAAATAAAACAAAAAAAGTTACACGAGATAGATTAAACAGTACTTGTGTTCATACAAACCATTTAAAAGCGTGAATGGGACTCTTTCTTTTAATTCTCTCTTCATTTAAAATAATTTTCATGGTTTGGAATCACTATTTTAAATATCTTTTTTTGTAATAATTTTGATTTTAAAAAAAACTTTAATTAGTCTAATGGCAATTTCTTTTGTGTGGAGAACTTTATCTTAATCTATTTAAATAGCATAATTTATAATTATATACATAAAATATTTTCATTTTTTATTTTTTCAAAGATATATTTAATAGTAAAACTTTTTAGATATGTAAATTTTTTTGTCATTTTTAAAATAAGACTGCGGAAAAATAACAAACTAGAGATTTTAACTAAAAGCATTGTTTCTATGGTTACTATGTTTACATTGCAATTAAATAATCTGGTGGTCAGCGAAAAAAACAATTAAATTTATGACGCCCTTTTTCAAGGTATAGGGAAAAAGTCAAGCTGAAATTTAACAACTGTTCTATTTCATTTGATTTGATAAAAATGATCATTTTTAAAGTCAAGGATACACAAACAATATCTATTAATAATAGATATTGCATCTTTTCCTGAATAGATATGTGCCTATAATAATATCATTTCTGACATCATTACTATACAAATTTATCTCTGATAAAAACAAAAAGATACTATTAAGCCAGACAAAAAAAATTTAAAATTTTAACCTGAGCTTGTTTATCACTAGGTAACATAGAGTACAGTGGCAAAACATAAAGCGGTATCGAACAATCTGTGATTGCATCTGTGAGGGTATCTCCTTTTTCCTAAAAACCAACAAAAATCTCAAGATATGCTCTTTATATATTATATATATATATATAAATATATATATATATATATATATATATATATATATATATATATATATATATATATATATATATATATATATATATATATATATATATATATATATGTATATATATATATATATATATATATATATATATATATATATATATATATATATATATATATATATATATATATATATATATATATATATATATATATATTTATATATATATATATTGTTTATACAAACATATCTTGACTTATATATATATATATGCTGGGTCATTTCATATGAAATCATCCAGATCATGACACCCTTAGGTTTCAGAATTTGTTCATTTTAACCTCACTTGCAGTCCATATTATAAAAAAAAATAACTGCAAAAATTTTAGTTAAAAATACACATGGGTTCCAGAAATATCATCAGTTAAAATAATGCTGACTCAGCATTTTAGTGATTATCTGAAGCAACTACAAAGCAACTTTGACATATAGTATCTTCATAATGGCTAGGGGAAATTTCCTAAAATTTGGTACCTCAATAGATTTTTACTTGAGGAATCTAAAAGACTTGATTGCCTCAGGAAATACCTCATTTATCCAACTTTGTTCAAAATTATTGTAAATTCATGATTTTTGGAGGTAAATTAAAGACTGTGGCCCAAAATCAGGAGTAAAAAGTTTAATTGTATATCATTATTTTATCTTAGGTCTACTGAAAAAAATTAGATTCATTAATTTTCTTTCTAATACTTGATCAAAATTTGCGTTTAAAAATTCATCTTTTTAGAAAAATTTAAATTTTGTAACGAAAGCAATTGAAATAAAACATCAAATAGTGTTACTTATTGACTAGTTTAGGACATCAATAGTCATGGGCCAAGGTAGGGCCAGAGAGCCTGTGACCAATTTCCCCCCTCCCTCGACCTTACTGGATTTTTTTTTTTCTTAAATACATAAAATGAATTAGTAATGAATAATTATTAAAATTCAATTTAAAAACAGAATTTTTTTTTAGTTTAAGTTTGAGAAACAATTTATTTTCAAATGGATAAATGCTTACCTCTTTTTTCAAAGTAAGCACTCAAAACTGAGATCTTTTTACGATTTTAAAAATCATAAATTTTAAAACCATATATATTGAAATGTTTTTTAAATTATTTTAACAACCAATTTCTTTATGGTATTATTTAGTATTATTTTAGTATTATTTTAAGAATATAGTCATTGACATAATAAGGATTTATTTAAATCCACCTCTTTTCCAGCCTTCCATCCAAAGATTTGAAAAAAACAAAAATAGAAAGACAAATTCTAATTGCAAAATAGGTAAATAAAATTACAACAAAATTATTTTAAATGTATTTAATTTTTTTGTAACCAATTGCTTATATTCTTTAAATCTAAAGTGGACATGTACATACAACCTGGTATTGTTGTGGGTTGTAGAAAATAGGCATATAACTTCAGAACTGAGCCATTCTCATTGGCCAAAAATAAGTTTTTATCTGGTCCATGCGGATGTATGAATCTGACTTTTATATCAAGCTCACTTACGTCTTCAGCAATCCCTGCCCACCAAAATCTGTCATAAAAACATGCAATATAATTTTTTTAATGTTTAATGAAATCTCTTTATTAAGTTTACTTTTTAGAATGATATTAAATATTTCAATACATGTATCAATACTTGTTTTTTATAACTTATAGTGTTTGAAGCAATTGAAATAAAATGATGATACATCCTTGCAGGGCTGTGCTTAATATTCACAATTTGCCAACAATAATTCAAAACTTGCTCAATGTGCTAACTCAAATGCTTATATAAAAGCTTTGATTTCATCTTTAGAAGAAATTTATCTTAGATTTACAAAAGGAATGCATTAAATTAACATCTAAAATGTGCCCAGTAGTTGTTTGTTTTAGACTTCTTGACATACTCTTTTAATAGTCCCACCAATACCATCACAGGGAGATTTATCATGACTGGTAGCAAAAAATACCTATTCAGCATTTAAATCAAAGTCTTTACTATGATGATAGAGATTGATAAAGTTTTAATAAAATTTTTCAATTCAGCTGCACAACCATCGGAAAAGTATTTCACACTTGATACATCAGGTAGATTTTCTTTGATATATCTAGTTTTATCTTCCTGAGTCTTGTAAATAAATCCTGTATCATGATCAACATCTTCTAAAAGATAACAAAAAGATTTATGTTTCAGAACTTTTTTCTCTATAAAATAAAGTACAATTGTAAAGAGTGAGCATTGACTTTTACTCCATTACTTTGAATTTCATTCTGAACAACATATTGATAATTTTCAGCAAAATCTCCTAAAATTAAGCATTTGTTTTGGTTAAGATTTTCTGTACAGTTTTTTAAGTATCTATTTTGTGTTTTAGCAATATATGAACAAGTGGCAAGGTTGTCAATGCTGTCACATAATAAATCATTAAATTCATCTAATGGCAATGATTGTAATAGTAGTGTTGTACAATTGGTACTCTGCCATTGCTTGAATGCTTCTTTGAGCCCATGGTCCATAAACTTCTACATTAAAAAACATTCTAATGGTTCAATACCAGGCCATTGGTTATATTAATGAAATATACAATCAATGCCATAAAATCTTCATTACTTTTGTTCCACCTAATGGCATCAATGAGAAATTTTGTATTTTTTTCCTGGCATCATTCTTAAAAAATTCAAATTTTTCACTTTTTATTTTCCATTCCTCCTGTGAATTAAAATCTTCATCAGTTTCTGCTGCTTTTTTGTAACATTTACTGCAGAATTTCCAACCTGGGTTACATAAACATTATTTTCTTGCAAAAATTTTGCCAAGTCTTGGGAAAATCTTTATATTACCTAAGCAACAAATTTAGTTTTAAGTTTTTAATTTAACTGAAAAGTTAAAGTTTTTTATAAACAATAAATTTTTTTTTTTGATTTTCATATTAATTCTGTTTTTGATATAATAAGAGGTTAACATTCGTTTGGAATTGAAATAATGAAAATAAATTGTTTCTCAAACTTAAACTAAAAAAAAATTCTGTTTTTAAATTGAATTTTAATAATTATTCATTACTAATTCATTTTATGTATTTAAAAAAAAAAAAATCCAGTAAGGTCGAGGGAGGGAGGAAGTTGGTCACAGGCCCCCTGGCCCTACCTTGGCCCATGACTATTGATGTCCTAAACTAGTCAATAAGTAACACTATTTGATGTTTTATTCAAATAAATGTTTTAAAAAGTATTTCAATTGCTTTCGTTACAAAATTTAATTTTTCTAAAAAGATGAATTTTTAAACGCAAATTTTGATCAAGTATTAGAGAGACAATTAATGAATCTAATTTTTTTCAGTAGACCTAAGATAAAATAATGATATACAATTAAACTTTTTACTCCTGATTTTGGGCCACAGTCTTTAATTTACCTCCAAAAATCATGAATTTACAATAATTTTGAACAAAGTTGGATAAATGAGGCATTTCCTGAGGCAATCGAGTCTTTTAGATTCCTCAAGTAAAAATCTATTGAGGTACCAAATTTTAGGAAATTTCCCCTAGCCATTATGAAGATACTATATGTCAAAGTTTGTAGTTGCTTCAGATAATCACTAAAATGCTGAGTCAGCATTATTTTAACTGACGATATCTCTGGAACCCATGTGTATTTTTAACTGAAATTTTCGCAGTAATTCTTTTTTTAAAATATGGACTGCAAGTGAGGTAAAAATAAACAAATTCTGAGACGTAAAGGTGTGGTAAAAATGTTTTTTTTTTGGATGATTTTATATGGAATTACTCTGCTACTTTTAATAAACTAATTTTATAACATTGATACCTTAAAGCACAAAAGTGCTATGTCCACTTTTTGAATTTGTTGGTACACAAAATGAATTTTATTACAAAAAACTAATGCTTGAAGTTTATTTTTTATTTCCTTGGCGTATACTATGAATATTGTATAATCAATGAAATGAATATCTGTGAAACTGTTGTTTATGGGATTTAAAATATAATTCAAGTCTGTAGCTTGTTTGTGCACAAATTTGTGAATGAATTATGGTTTAAACTAAAATATTTTATTGTACAGACATGGTTGTCTGATGGCATCAGACGACCAATTTGCTTGGAGGGCAACTAAAGATATTATTTTGATGTCGGCGAAAGGAGCACCTCCTTTAAATCATACTACTTTTATGTAAATTCTCATAAACTAATGTAAATTAATTTAAGAAAAATAATTTTACTAATAATTAAATTAGTAAACTGATTATTACATTTTAATGATGCCGTTAAAGTGAAAAACTTAAATTAACTACTGTTACATTGCATAATTAAAAGTACTGGTTTTTATCAGCATAATTTTTATAATTACTCATTAAATGAGAGTCATTCATAAAAATGAATTTAAACTTACTTTTTATTTTAAAATTGTAAAAAAAAAAAACAATAAATGTAATAATTGTAAAGAAAACTAATTTTTAAATTTAAAGACAGAAAAAATTAAATGTTTAAATTAACAATTGCAGTTTAAAAACGTGTTTTAACCGCATCCTAAAACTTTATTTTTTTCAGCAAATTAAAAACTTTTGTTTAGGGTATTTTTAAATATTTTTTAAGAACAATATTTTGAAAGAATAAAAATAGCAACAACAGATAAAAATAATTTTATTCATAAAGTATTATAAAAACTAGATTATCTTGAAAAAAACTTTTTAAATGTTTCTATTTAGCAAAACTTGTGTGTTTTAAATCCATTAAAAAAATTCTAATTAAAAACATTAAAAAATTGTGTGACCAAATATATGGATAAAATAAATTTTTCAATTTGTGTAATTAAATTTTTGACATCATGTAAAAGCAAAGTAACATATGTACTAGGGTTATGACAAAAAAATATTTTTTTGCCGTGTAGTGAACATTTTAATACTGATTAAGAAAATCACATTAATTTTGTACAATTCTTAAAAAAGTTCTGACAATATGATGGGTGCCATATATTACTAAAAATATGGTAAAATATGACATCTACCATGTCATTGAGTCACAATCAATTAATAATCAGGTCACAAAAGTTCATTTGTAACCACAGGAGATACAAAATTTAGCAAAAATGTTTTCAGTCATAACCTCAATATGCATCAAGTGATGTAATAAACAAAATATTTGAATCAAATTAAATTTATTTGTATGCATTAATAACATTTTGTCTACTACGTTTTTATGACATATACACCTTATATATATCTAAAAACTTTTATTGACTTTAATTTTTATTTTTATGAAAACATATTTTCAAAGAAACCCAATAAAATGAACTTTTAATCACAACACATTTTTCAGCCATCTAAAGGAAAGCTTATTTTTTGATATAATATTGTTGTGTATATTGATGTGTTTTGTATTTAAGTTCACTTTTTTTTTTAAAGATAGATGAAATAAAATAAATTCAATCTAATTCAATCAATTACTATATTATAAATTTTTGAAAAATAAAGAAAATTTAACTAGCGCAAGGTAAAAATTCTTACATCTTCAAACAGCTCGTTATCTTCTTCATAAATATCTTCATCGCCTGATTCCATTTCTAAATATTCATCAGGAGTATATTTTGGATTTGCCTCATAACTAAAAAAGAAATTCATTTAACTATTAATATACCTAATTTCAATTAAAAATTATATAATAGTAAAATAAAATAAATAGTAAATGAAAATAAAATTTATTTATTATTTTTATTTACTATTCATCTTGAGTAAATATATAAATTTTAAAGTAAGAAAAGTATACTAATTCACTAAACCAAGTTACCAAGTAAATCAGATACTATAAACAAACAATTAACAAGATTGCTAACATCAATCTTTGAGAAAATAAAAAAAATCAAGAAACTGTAAGGTTACTGGAATGACAAGTCATATCATAAGGTTTTGCTGCATGCGAAAAAACATAATAAATGTAACGTCATCTTTGATATTTATACTGCTATAATATAAAAAACAAACTGCATCATCAGCATAATTTAAAATACTGAATTGTAATTAACTTTTATTTCAAAACCATGTTTAAATGACTCCACACAACATTTTTGTAATAAATAATTAACAAAACACAATTATATTAAAAGTTACAAGTCTAATATTTGATATTTGAAAAACATATTTCTTGATTACTTATTTCTTTAAACAATTACATATATAGCATATAATAACCTTTTGTTTGATTTGTGACGCTTTTAAATGTTTAAAAAGAAAATAGCAAATTAATGTTTTGGATATATATATATATATATATAAATATATATATATTATATATATATATATATATATATATATATATATATATATATATATATATATATATATATATATATATATATATATATATATATATATATATATATATATATATATATATATATAAGGGGTAAACAGATTCTATCTTATCTGGGTAAATAGATTCTATCTTAAGGGGTAAACAGATTCTATCTGTTAACCAGCCTCGCACCCCTTCGTCATCTATTAGGCTGGCGCAGATGTATTTTTAATACATTGTTTCCAGTTTAGGATGTTGAACGATGGATCTTCTTGATTCGATTCATGGGTTTTGCTTGTGTCTCTGTTTTTATGACTAGGCAACTCATTCTATTATCTCTAAATGAGGGTACAGCTCTAAAACTCAGTTTTATGGTTCTGAGGCCGGCTGGTAGTCAGGTTTCCCGAACTCTGTAGTAGCTCTCAGAGAGGCTGATTCCATCAACAGCTGAAAAATATCAGAGTACTAACAGTGCCATGTTGCGCATGGATGGTGTCCCTGTTTGTACTTTTGGTGTGCATTACCAAGGCCACATTGGAGCCCTTTGTTACAGCTTAGGGTTTATTAGTGGAAATGAGGCATTGCTTGAGCTATAGAACAGTGTACTGAGTACTATCAATGTTTCGAGTCAAGTTCTTTAATAAATTTAAAAATGAATAAAATAACAAAAACTATAAAACACAAAAAACCACAGTCATCACCAAGTTCGCTAAACCTATCATTCACCAATATTCGTGGTCTTCGAAGTAACTTTTCTTCTGTTGAGTCTTATCTCTTGCAAAGTTCACCAGACCAGCTTGCTCTTTGTGAGACTAATTTGAGTTCAGCTGTCTCATCTTGTGATCTTAGTGTTGATAGTTATCTTTAATTCGTAAAGACTCCATTAGTCACATGCTTGGCCTGGGCATTTACATTCGTAAGAATTCACCCATTTGTCGGGAAACTAGGTTTGAATCCACAGACTACTCTTTTATGTGCTTTCATTTAGCACCACTTCACTCTATCATCTTTCTCTTTGTTCTATATCGCTCTCCCTCATCCCAAGACTGCACTCTTCTTGATGTTATTTCTGATTATATTGACCAAGCCCTCATTCTTTATCTATCAGTCAATATTGTTGTTGTCGGTGACTTTAATGTTCTTCACACTGAATGGCTTGGCTCAAGTGTCAGTGACTCTGAAGACATTAAGGCCCACAACTTTTGTCTTTCTCAATCCTTAACTCAAATAGTCAACTTTCCAACTCGCTTTCCAGACAACCCGAATCATTTACCTTCTCTACTCGACTTATGTTTTGTTTCTGATCCTAGTCAGTGTTCAGTTTCTTCACACTCACCCTTAGGTGCGTCTGATCATGGTTTGGTCTCTCTAAAACTATTATCTCATTCTTCTTTACCATTAGAATCCCCCTATCATCGTACATCTTACAACTACCTTAAAGCTGACTGGGACTCTTTTTGTGACTTTCTTCATGATGGCCCCTGGGTAGAAATCTTTCGTCTCCCTGTTGACAAATGTGCTTCTTACATAACTTCGTGGATTCAGGCTGGCATGGAATCCTTTATTCCCTCTCGATGATTCCAGGTCAAGCCTCACTCTTCTCCATGGTTTTCCTCACATTGTGCTGCTGCAATTGCCAATGGAAACCATTACTTCCATATCTATCAGCAAAACAATTCTCCAGAAAACAGACATCTGTTTATTACTGCTAGGAACCATTGTAAAAAGGTTTTGTCTAACGCCAAAACCCACTATTCTCAGATCATGAAATCTTGTATTTCATCATAAAAATTAGGCTCTCGTGACTTCTGGAGAATCTTTAATAGTATCAATAATAAGGGCAAGTCTGTAATTCCACCTCTTTTGTACGGTTCAGACTTTGCCACCTCACCTAAAGACAAAGCTGAATTGTTTGCCAAGAACTTTTCATCAATATCATCTCTTGATGCCACTAGTTGCGTTTTACCTGATATATCCGTCAAACAGGTTGATCCATTGCTCGACATTCGTATCACTCCAGCTTCTGTATCTAAAGTGATTTCCCGCTTAGACTCTTCTTCAGCTTGCGGCCCGGACAACATAGCTGTTATAGTCTTGCAGAAGTGTTCTCCTGAGCTGTCGTCTATCTTTTCAAAGCTATTCAACAAGTGCTTATCAGAGTCTTGTTTTCCAGCCTGCTGGAAAGCAGCATCTGTTATCCCTATTTTTAAAAATTCTGGAGAGCGATCTGACTCATCTAACTACCGTCCCATTAGTCTTCTTCCTATCATAAGCAAGGTTTTTGAATCTTTAATTAACAAACACTTAATCTCTCATCTCGAATCTCATAACCTACTTTCTGATCATCAGTATGGATTTCGATCTTCTCGTTCTACGGCTGATTTGCTATCAGTAATAACCGATAGGTTTTATCGCGCATTAGATAAAGGTGGAGAGGTTAAGGCCATTGCTCTTGACATTTCTAAAGCTTTTGATAAAGTTTGGCATGCTGGTCTCCTCCATAAGCTTTCTTCTTATGGTGTATCTGGAAACATCTTTAAGATTATTGAATCCTTCCTTTCCAATCGTAGTATAAAAGTTGTCCTTGATGGACAGCACTCTTCTTCTTATTCTGTAACCTCAGGGGTTCACCAAGGTTCAATCCTTGGCCCTATACTCTTTTTAATTTACATTAACGATTTTCCAGATATTCTCACATTTAAGGTGGCATTGTTCGCTGATGATACTACCAGTTATTCTTGTCACGATAAGAAGCCAACTCCCTCTGATTGCTTACAGGGGGCATCTGAGCTCAAAAAGGATCTCACTTCTGCTACAGCATGGGGCTCGCAGTGGCTGGTGAACTTTAATTCAGATAAAACTCAATTTTTTTCGGCTAATCGTTATTGCAATAATTTAGACCTTCCTATATTTATGAATGGTAATGTACTCGATGAGTCTCCTACCCTTCATCTTCTAGGATTAACTCTTACTTCTGATCTTTCTCGGAAACCTTATATCAAATCCGTTGCAAAATTAGCATCTGCTAAAGTTGCTTCTTTTTATCGAGCTCATCACTTTCTTACTCTAGATTCTATTCTCTATCTCTATAAATCTCAAATCCGGCCTTGTATGGAATACTGTTGCCATATCTGGGGCGGATCTTCTAATGATGGCCTTTCTCTTTTAGACAAGGTGCAAAAACGCATTGTAAACATAGTTGGACCTGCTCTTGCAGCCAACCTTCAACCTCTGTTACATCGTCGTAATGTTGCTTCTCTTTCTCTTTTCTACAAATACTATAATGGGCACTGCTCTAAAGAGCTAGCGTCTCTTGTGCCATCTACTAAAATTCATTCTCGTGTTACTCGTCATTCAAATAAGTCTCATCCTTTTTCTGTTACTGTTCCTAAGTGCTCCAAAAACTCTTATTCGTCTAGTTTTTTTCCTCGAACATCAGTTCTTTGGAATTCGCTTCCTTCATCTTGCTTTCCTGATTCATATAATTTGCAATATTTTAAGTCGTCTGTCAATCGTTATCTTGCTCTACAATTTTCATCTTCAATTAAAACTTGTTTTAAAGCAGTTTTTGAATAATTTGAATAAAAAATTTACTTAAAGTTAAGTAAATAAATGGCCATGTCAAGTCAAACAAACAGACTAGTTTTTCTCTACAAAAACATGTGTCTACATAAATACTTAGTGTCTACACTATACATTCTGCATAATTTTTGTCTGTATAAAAGTATAAATCTTCTTAAACTATTCACTGTATGTATTTAAATCTGTATATTCACTGTATGTATTCAAATCTGTATATTCACTGTATGTATTCAAATCTGTATATTCACTGAATGTATTCAAATCTGTATATTCACTGTATGTAATCAAATCTGTATATTCACTGTATGTATTCAAATCTGTATATTCACTGTATGTATTCAAATCTGTATATTCACTGATGTGTATTCAAATCTGTATAAAAAACATTAGTATGATATGGTTACTATAGTTACTATTCATTAACCTTAAATATTCATTCACTTTTTTTGTAAATGAAGAAGATTTAAAAAAAAAAATTTTAATCAAAAGATTCTAACCTGCTTTTGTATTTACAAAAAAAAAAAAAAACAATAGTTGGTTATTGTAAACAGATGTAAGTGTGCCCATACATGAGATTATTATATATACGTGTATTACCTTTTATGGGCAACATTTTTTCATTACCTTTAAAAACAAAATCAATTATTAACCTTACTTGTTATTAATCAAAACATAACCTTACTTGTTATCATCACATCATTAAAACATACCTGTCTAAATCGATATTAACACGATTTTCTGTTTTCTGATTTTTAGCATTGATTGTTATTGTTTTATGTACAACTGGTGTTTTAACAGCTGGAAATGAATTCCTTAGTTTTTTACATAAAGTTAGCACTTCACTCTGACCAGTTAAAAACACAAGTATACCACCGTCATTCTTAAGTGTGCGATGAATTTTGCAAACCTTAATACAAAATTAGTAATTGACATTTGACCATTAAATTTGGGATAGACAATTACATAAATTTACCAAATTAAGACAAAAACTTATTTAAAGAAAGCACATGCCTTTTTGTAAGCTTCAGACATATAATCTTCTACTGTTCTTTTATTAAAATGTATTGTAACAGGATATTGGCGAGAATCTATTTTTAGTGTAGGAGGAGGAGTAGAAAATAAGCGTTTATTTTCTGTAAAATCTTCAACACGCAATGTAGCAGACATGATTATTAATTTAAGAAGTTTTCCTTGCTAAATGGAAAATTCATAAAAATATAATTTTTATATATAAAATTTTATAAAAAAATTTCAGATTTAAAAATTAAGGATATACAAATAAACAAAATATCTATTAGCATTTCTAACATAGCTGTAAATCTCAGTAATGTTTAGTATATCTAGTTAAATAGCATTAAGTTATCTGACATCATTACTATGATATCTGATAAAAATAGTCACTACGTAATATAATTATTATATCAGTTCAGCCAGGTCTTATCATTAATCTACTAAACAATATAATGTGATGGAGCTAATGTTAATACTGGAAAGAATAAGAAAATCTACTACAATGGCTTGTATGTCCATTGCATATGAACAGTCTTTCCTAAAAAAATTACTTCTAGGTTACAAGTAGAGATTATATTGTTGTTATACAAAAATTTAACTTCTAAAAATGAAGACAAATATTTTTTTTAAAGTTTAAAAAAATAATCTATAACTCTATAACTATGTAAATAACTCAGTGATGAATTATTTAGAATAATAGGTAGTAATATCTAGTAAGACATCAGTACTATTATATACAGTTATCTGACATCAGTACTATATAAACTGATTTCTGATAAAAAAAATAGTCATTAAGTCATTGAATTATTTTATGAGCTCAGTCAGGTCCTATCATTAATCTAAAAAATAATATAATTAATTTTTTAAATAATGTAATTAATTTTTTGAATATGAATAATTTAAGTTATTGATTAAATATCATAATAATGACCTTGATAAAACTCTAGTTTTCTCTCAAATTTATTTTAACTTCATTATGTAAATTTTTTGAAAAAACAAGATACACCACTTAAAGAACACAATAAAGATTGTATACATCTCTAACCCACCGTCCTGCTCCCTGTAGCATACCTAATATATAGGAAACTTCCCAAATTTCAAAGTATGAGAACTTTTGATCTTAATTGATAAAATTTCACTCTTTAAGCAAAAAGGTTTTTCATCAACTTTAACAGCTAATAACCTTTAAACAAGAAGATTTTATACTTCAATTATTTTAAGATAGCAAGTATACTATGTTTACTTGAGGAAAAACAAAAAATTAAAAATCCAGCATTTTAGCTTTTTCCATAATAGTAGGCTAAAATATTTTTGTTTTGGAATTAAAATTTTTTTTTTGATTTAAAGAGTTTAAAAACATTTAAAAATAAGATTAATATCAATCAAATTGCCTGTCGATCTTTAAATGTGGTAGATAAACATTAAAAAAAAAAATCAGTTGATTGGAGAGCTGCACTCAAAGGTTATAAGTGATCAATGTGAGCCAGATCAAGATATTTTTTTTAATTTGTCTCTAATGCAAAGCATATATTACCTAAGATGGCACCTTTTTTTTTTTCTTTAAGATTTCTTATGTGCATCAATTAAAGAGTGTTTGTCTACAAAAAATTAATGGACAATCATTTATAATCCCTAAATATTGTCTCTTGAAGTCAGGTAAATTTTTGATAAAACAAATTGAAATTATTTGTTTGCCTTTTTAAAACTTTGAAGTTAGCAAAATAATTTTTGTGAATTAAAAAATTATTACAAATATATTATATTTAGTGAATTAAATAATTATTATAAAATGATACTAAAAAAATATAGATAAATGTTTGTAATTTTAAAACCCCAATAGATAAAAATTTATAATCCTCTCTTAATAACACAGTTTTTTTTTTTTAAACAATAAACAAACAAAATATTTTTCAATTGGTAAATCAAAGTAATGAAAAAAAATACATATGTTTTAAATACAAAATGTTTGACATTAAATACTTTACGATATTAAATTATATATATTTTGAAATTACAGTTTAAAATTTTTTTAGTAAGACAATATTTAGGTATTAAAAATGTAATAAAAATTAGGACAAAAAAAAATTATCAAATCCAAAGAAAATTAAGTTTCTCAAATATTTAAAAATTTATTTCATTGATTCCATTCATGTCAATATTATAAAATCTTCCTTTATTAGACTGGACACAATGAGATTGATTTTTGCATAAAATATGCTTTTTACCAACAGAGATCATCTCTGCATGGCCATTGTCATATAACCGAAAATGACCTATTAGATAATCTTGATACAGGGTAGCCCATAAGTCACTTTACATTTTAAAAATTAAATAACTTTTTCTTAAACGACTGTATTTAATTAATTATTTTTTTATTACAAAGTTTAGAGTCTGTAAGTTAGTTCTGACTTAGTTACGAAAGATAATGTCTCTTAAATAGCCTCCATTCTCGTCTTCACAAAGTCTTAAATAGCCTCCATTCTCGTCTTCATAAAGTCGAGCTCTTTTTAAGCTATTCTCCATGACACTTCTTAACATCTGAGGTTGTAGGGAAAGAATTTCCTGTCGTATGTTTGCCTTAAGATCTTGAATAGTTTCGGGTTTATTTGCATACACTTTGTCTTTAAGATATCCCCAAAGCCAAAAGTCTGGTGCTGTCAAATCAGGAGAACATGGAGGCCATTGAAAATTGGATTTAAGAAAGATTATACGATCCTGAAATTGCATTGTGGCTCTAGCGATATGTGCAGTTTGCTCATCTATCGGCAAAGGATACTTGTGTAAGAGTGTCAAAACAATAAGTACAGCTAAAGGTATGATTAGAGAGTTAACATTAGAAGGGGAAAAACTGTAAAAAACACTGTGCAGAAGTTGATGTTGTCAATTAGCGTAAATGTTCGCTATTCAAAATAAAGAAAAATATTAAAATAAAAAGCACTTTTATGATCTTCAAGTCCCTTAGATTAAAATAAATATTGAAGTTTTTGCATTAGTTAAACTATTTCTTTTTTTTTCTTAACTTTTTTTTTATTGTTTTGAATTTAACGATTGCATGTTTAAACCCAGTGGGCACGGGACACACAAAAGAGGTCTTTTAAACGTCTTTAGGAAGTTTTAGATGCCTTTTGAACGTTTTGGACATCTTTGGGACTTTCAAAAGACCTCTTTTTTAGGTACGTGCTCCTTGGGTAGAATTAAAATTAAAATTCGGACTAAAAACTCTAGTTTTAGGTAAATAATATATAGAAAAAAGTGTTTGTTTACCCAAAAAAAAAATTTTTCAAAGGTAATATTTGGTAGTTGAGTAGAGTAGTGATAATAATACAATAACCATCATGAGAATTGGTTAAAAATTAATTGCTGTAGAAGTATAGTTATAGGTCGGCAAATGTGATCAAAAAAATTTCCAAAACTTGCAATTTTTGGTCATAAAGTTCGGGAGCCGGAACCGAGCCAGATATTTCTTAGGAGCCGGAGCCGAGCCGTAAAAAAACAGTCAGCTTCACAAGCCTGCTTACTACAAGCATCATAATTTACATATATAAATATATTACATAACACTACATATACTACATATATACTTCAAATGGGGCCAATGACATAAGGTATCTCTATATAACCACTGAAAAAAATTTATAAATATATAACCACTGAAAAAAAATTTTTTAATTATTTTTATTTAATGCACCTGATCATTAAATCACCATAATCTTCAATAATATTTTTACACTACTAATTAATCAAAAATAAAAAATTAAATATAAAATCTAATTCTCACAAACAAAAAATACACTCAAAATAGTATTTTATGACATTTTCTATTATGTAACAGTAAATATGTCACAGATCAATCAGCTTTGTTGTAAAAGACTAAGAAGCTAATTAAAAAAAATAAAAAAATAATAAGTAATAAGCTAATAGTAATAAAAATAATTTTAAAACAATCACCTTATTTCTCATAGGAACAACTCGAGACAATAAACCAATTAGAATATCAGTGTAGACACTGCGTTCATGGGCTTCATCAATGATCAATGCAGAGTATTTGCTCAACAAAAAATCCTAAAAAATTTAAAAATAAATATTCAACAACAATCAACTACAATCAAGCTTTTTCTTCATAACAATAAACTTAAATAAACTTTTGACTCAAAATAATTTTCTATTGTTTTATAATATTTACATCAATAAAAGTTTAAATTATCAAATGTTAATAAATAAAAAATAACATTTCTTATTTTTATAAATTATATTGTAACAAAGTTTAACTTTTTTATGAAAAATATATTATCATTAAATGTATATATATTAATAAATCTATGAACAACTATTATGAAGTTTTTATTCATTTTTAATTTTAATTCAAAACTGGATTTTAATTTTAATTTCAAGATTAAAAATATTAATAAATATATGCAGATAGATAATGTAAACCAGTAATTCAATGTTGATGTCAATCCATAACCTCAGTCATTACAGCTCATAATCCTGTTTGTTTTTGATTTCTGATACAATTTTGTTATTAATTTGTCAATGAATCAACAAAAAAAAGCATGAGTTTTAACTTAAAATCTGGACAAAGTTTGAATCACTATATAGCATATTTTATTCATTAAAATTTAATCATACTATATACTATATACTAATAAAATTGAATTTTTGTGAAAGCTTTTAAACATGTTTAGTTTTAAAGCTTTTTTTAATTCTATTTTAGAAAATGAAAGCAAAGCAATCGACTTAAATATTTTCAATATTTAAATAAAAAAATATAAATAAACATTTAAATATATCAAAGAATATGAAAAGCATCAAAAATAACATAAGATCAAGATTCACAAAAATAAAATCACAAAAAATATAAAATATAGAACATAATAAAAAATAGTTAAAGAATTAAATCTACATACTGTCTCCATTTCTTTTAGAAGAACACCATCAGTCATAAACTTTATCACAGTGTTTTCTATAATACAAAAAATAATAATTAAACCATAAAATATGTTAAGCTTATGATCACTACATAAAAGCCAAAAACTGTTGAAGAATGTTTAACTAAAAAATCATTTAAGAATCAAAAGTAATTTCAAATATTTTTATTTTCTTTTTTATAAATTTTATTTTATAAAAGTAAAGAATAGGATTAAAATCTGGAAGAATTCTGTGCCTAGATCCACTGGGAGACAGAAATCTGAAACATCTTGATTATCTCCATCGGTATTAAAACCAGTGATATATAATATAAACATAAAAAAACTCTAAATAATGAGGGACAACTTGATTGAAATAAAATAGTACACAACTTTCAAATAAAAATTGAATTACACGCAGTTCTAATTTCTTTAAAATATGAAGCATAAATTTAAGCATAAATGATATTTTTATAATTTATCATGCATGCTCACTAGGCATTTTAAACTTTTTGAATAAAAATTGATTTCCATGGGTTTCAGTAGATGAACTTTTATATGTAGATTGCATTTATTATTCCTTTAGTGAAAAATTAAAAAAAAAAGGTGGCGCACCCATAAGCATCTTTTGATGATGTCACTATTCAATATAAAACTTTAAACAAATAGCATTATATAATTATATTGTGCTAAATGAAGGCAATGTTTTATACCTAAAATGTTAGCTTCTTATTGCTAATTAAAGCTAAATATAGTTTTAACAATCTGCCTTTAACCAATAGGCTTACACTTTCGAAATTTCATATTAAAAGTATAGTTTCTAGTAGTTTGGCTTTATAAGCTTCGATTTTTCTCATCTGCTTTGGACTAATTGCTTTGTTGTTTTATTGTAGAAGCTATTCTGACAGAAAAAGTTTAAATTTCATTTAGTTCATCAAAGACATGTCTAAACTATCACGTAACCTATATAATAAAAGCTCCAATGTATGGCAGCAGAATATAAAAAGCAAAGTTGTCAGGCATTCAGAAATACCTTTGCGAGTTACTGAATTAAATGAACTCTGCAAAATGCCTCTTAACAGGGACATTGTTGGGCGTTTTTTGAGATTACATGATAAAATGAAGAAGGAGAAAATAAGAATAGAAACTATTGCAAAGGAACTGAATTTACTTTGAGATAAATTTAATTTTCCTGTCAAATCAATGCAATGTGTCCACCCAAAAACTGCAAATCTAATTGATGCATATGTGAGATACAGAAAGAAAAAGGGTAAGAGATTTCTGGAGGAATTAGCAAACCTCTTTGATATAACCAAAACTGATGGAAATTGGTTGACCACTGAAGACAAACAACTTTACTTACAGCAGATTGAATCTCATGGTACTGTTGGATACACAACTGCAAAGCTTGCACCAGTCTCAACAATTCATCCGTCTAAACGACAAAAAGTTATGCAATCTTCAGTTAAGAAACAAGTCATGGTAACTTCAGATGAATCTGTGCAAGAAACTGATGCTGAAATATCACCTGGTGATGATTTTATACCTGAAGTGGAAACAAAGAGGAAAAAATATCAAAAAACCAAGGCTGCTGCAAATCTGGTTACCAAATATTCTCTATCTACAAGACAATCATCCAGAGTCTGTTCTAGTCTAGTTGCTGAATGTTCTGCTAAGTTACCCACACCATCACAAACTGGAATATAGAAAAAAGTGGTCAAAGATGAAATTAGAGAGGCTGCTGAAATAAAACCCATTCTTCAGCAGGAAAATGATTTCTGTTTACATTTCGATGGAAAGAAACTATCATCTAAAGAATATGAAGTTGTTTACTTGCAAAGTACTTCAAGGAAATTGAATTTAGGTACCATCATATGTGAATATGGTTCGGCTGCAAACATATTTTCTGGATTGAAGAAGCTCTTAGATGACTTCGATGCCTGGAAGAGTATTAAAAAGATTGTGTGCGATACAACAGCAGTCAACACTGGTAGCAGAAATGGAATAATCGCTCAGCTTTATAAAGAATTCAAAAGAAAATGTATTATTAAACCGCAGTACATTGGGTGTCAACACCACATCCTTGACTTGGTTCTTTGACATTTACTTGACTTCGGTGTTCCAACAGTCTCACAGAAACCAGATATAAACTATGAGTTTGTTGATAACATTTGCAGTCAGTATAAGAACCTTCAGACGAAATATACAGGTGAAGTCGAAGTACCTGCTTCTGAAAATGCTGGATGGAGGAGTGATTTCAAGTTTCTTTTCGAACTTTGCGAGGCTTGCAAAGTGTACAAGAAATGCGCTAAATTTCCAAAAATCAAGTGGCAAAAAATTCCTTTACTTCATAATGCGAGATGGAACTCTAGAGCAACATATGCTCTACTAGCTTATTTTCTTCTGGAAGAACATCGTCAGCACCTGAGCAGTATCTGCAACTTTATATTAACTGTATGGACATCAGCGTGGTTCTCTAATCAGCATTTCACTGAACACAGTTTTGAAGAATTGCATTATGTTGTTTCAGAATTTGATTGCCTGAAAGCAACAAAGTGTTTCCAAACGCATTGGGTAAATCAGCCTTCAGTCATTGACATTCCACGATCAAACATTGTGGCTGAAAGCCACGATCAAACATTGATCAGTCATTGACATTGCCACGATCAAACATTGTGGCAGTCAAAATAATGGAAGACATTTACACTACCTGCAAAAGTGAAAAGTACCTTAATGCTAAATCCTTAAACTCAAATTTACTATTGTGAACACTCAACAGTGACTAAAGTAAGCATATATTCATTTGGATGTTTAAAATTTCTGTTTTACAATATATAACTTGTGTGAATTAAGCATTGTAGCTATTTCTTTGAGGGTGCGCCAGGTTTTTTAGAATTTAAACAAAAATTAAGTCATATTTACTATATTTAGATAAAAGTTCATCATTTGCCACGCCAGGAATCTTGATTGAAAAAAAGTCATATACCTAATGCTCACAGTCAGTCTTATAATCTTTTATGTTTCATAAATATAAAATTACAGTATTTATTTATAATCCATATTGAGAAAACTTCAAATTTTTGAATTTATTTCTTTTCTGTTAAGTTCATAATTACAAAACTTTTTATTTTAAATCTTGAAATAAAATATATTAGAATAATGATAGCAATATAATGTACATTAATAAAAAATTTTTACCTGTTATGTTGCCTTCATATCGAATTTGATAAGAAACCTTACTAAAAAAATATAAAATATACACTTAATTAAATCAGTAAAAAATTGCCTAGAAAATATATTACTATAAAAAAACAATTTATTTAAAAAGTTATTTTAACATTTGCTGTTCTAAAATACATTTGTTGACAAGCAAAATAGGCAACAGCCTAGTTGATTATGTCAATGTTATTAACAATTTTGTATTTTTGGATGAGGTCACCTCATTTGCGACGTTCAACTAGAGTAGATAGGCCAAGTTGTAAACATCTGGACTTGTAGTCTAACTTTTTCAGTTTGTCTGTGGTATTTTTGTGGCTCTGCACTGTATTAGCTCAATAGTTTGTTCATCCTTCACCAAATGGGTTCCAAGCTGGAATTGCAAACTCAAGTAAAGGACGGACGTAGGTGGAGTAAAGTTGTTTCCATAAAGAAGCATCATGAGACCGGGAAGTGTGTTTTAGGATGCCTAGAATTTTATTTGCTTTACATGAGGCAACGATGGATTGGGTTTCTACTTTAAGGTCATTGGTAATTTGAATTCCCAAGTCACACTCAGAGGTGGTTGCTTCCAATGTAGTTCGAGTCGTTAATGAAAGAGGGCATATTTCCTCCATTGAGTACTTGAAAAGAGTTAATTTTTTTGGCCAAAGTGCATGACCTTGTATTTATTTGCATTTAGCTCCATGAGCCAAGACTTAGTCCAATGAACAATTCGGTCAATATCTGATTGGAGTTGAAGTTGAGCAGCAAGTGAGTTGACAATGCTCAGAATTTTAGTGTCATCAGCGTAGATCTTACAAATGTTTTCTTTGCTTATTACATCTGGCAGATCATTGATGACAATGACAATTAAAATTGGACCCAAGACTGATCCTTGCGGAACTCCACTTGTCACAAGTAACTGATTTGAATGAGTGTCACCAAGGATAACTCGTTGGGACCTGTTAAGTAGAAAAGCTTTTATCCAATTGAGAAAATGACCTTCGATTCCGTACATTTTTAGTTTGTAAAGCATTCGTTGATGTGGCACTTTGCTTTGGCAAAATCCAAGAATATGACGTCAACTGATAGTTTTCTGGTCAAATTTTCAGTTAAGAAATTTATTGTTTCAAGGAGATTTGTAATGCATGCTTTTTTCTCTAAAAAGCCATGCTGACTATTTGATAGAAGAGTGTTTGATTTTAGATGCTGCATGACTGCCTTCTTAACTAGTTTCTCCATTATTTTACATGGAATCAAGGTGAGAGATATTGGTCTGTAGTTTGATAGGTCGATTCTGGAGCCCTTCTTAAATAAAGGTGTTACATTTGCTTTGGACCATGAGTTTGGAATGTCACCATTGTCAAATGACTTTTGAAAGATGAGAGGTAAGGACATTGAGGTAGAACAAAAGCGTAAAACGTGAGGACTGACAATGTCTACGCCAAGTGATTTAGATATATCTAGCGATAAGAGTTCCATTAGAGTGTCAAAAGTTATGTTGTTGAGGATTGTGTTAGTTCTACGATCAAAATGGGGAAGATTGCCATTGGATGGCTCTTGCTAAAAACTGCTTGAAACTGATTGTTAAGCAAGATAGCTATTTTAATTTTGTCAGAGGTAATGATTTCACTGGAACTGGTGATTTGCATAGATGAGATCTGATTTATTACACAGCGGTTACTATTTATGTATGAAAATAGTCTTTTAGGGTTGCGCTTATCATTTGCAAGAGCAAATTCGAAAGATTTCAGAGAAGAACAGCTTAATTTTTTAACAAACTTTCTAGTTTCTCTATATTCCTAAACCAGGGATGCGATTTTCCATTTTGAACTGCATAACGAGCACACAGCGATTTGTTAAGACGAATCAGGGATAAAAGTTCTTTTGTCATCCATGGTTGTTTATTTAGGGATGGTTTGTTCGGCATGCAAGGGATGAATTGAAGACAACATTCATTGTATTTGTTTAGCCAAATTTGGTAACATTGTTCTAGGTTTAAGTCTTTAAAAATAGATGACCATGATTTTTTCGAAGTTACCGAGGTTGTAAATAAATTTAGAGCTGTTGAAATGCAATAATTTTCCAGCAATGATATTGATCAGACAAACCTTTTTTTGGTCGATACTGATGTTTCGGCATTGAAATAGCACTTCAAATCTCTGAGAAGGCTTCAATACCAGAAGATGGAGGTCTATAAATGCAGCCTAAAAGCAGAGTTTCATTCAGAAGCTTTAGTTCGACCCATAATTGTTCTGAATAGTAACAAATAAAATTTTTGTGTAGTTGGTTTGAGATGATTTTACTGTTTGAGTATATAACTACACCTCCTTCGATTTGGTTTAGACGGTCTGAACAATAGAGGTTGTAGTTTGGAAGAGAGGGAGTTGATTGGTCGTTGAACCATGTCTCAGTTATAAAAATAATGTCAAAGGAGTTGTTTTCTGCGAGTTAGGAGAGTTCAATGAGTTTTATTGGATTGAGGGAGATTGCATTAGTGTAGATGCACGAAAGATTAGATAATTTAATGGAAGAACTGGCCTTGTTTAAAAATGTTGAACTAGTAAGATGTTGAGAGCGATTGAATGGCCTCAGTTGCTGATTTCTATTTGAGGTATGGGTTCCTCTCTCTTCCATTGATGTTAACTGTTTTGAATGTGTCAATGCATTTGATTTTTTTGCTGCGGATGACAAATCGAAAGGGTTTGTCAAGTAAATCTTTTGCCAAAAGTTCTGCATTTTCGGAAGCACGCTTTTTGTTTAAGTTGTTGAATGTTTCTTGTTCGAGAGGTGTACGGTCTGTACGAATATAAACAGATTTTAATTCATCTATTGAGGCAAGTCGTTTTGCATTAGATAGGAAATCATTGGGGCGCTCATTGGAGTCCAACTCAATGATAATCAATTCATTTGGTTCAGCTGCAATTGTAGTTAAACTGCTGGTATTGTTAAACTTTTTTGAGAAATGCCCAACAACTTTAAAAGCAACATTATAGTTAAGCTTTTTGAGCACACTTTGAACTGAAATTAGCCTCTGATTATTGATTACCTATTTTGATAGTTTAGATAAACCAATGTTAGAAAAGGTAATACGTTTAACTAGAGGTGTAGCAGGTCCTTAATCTTAATGCCAATCAATACAAACTGATTCTATCAAGTAAAAAATATCATAAAGAAGAAAAAGAACTCTAAGAACAAATTGCAATCCTAGCAAACAACTTGCAACTTGAATTGCCGATCCATCCACCCTTGAGCCATTAACAGTTTGTCGCTTGATTTTATTAAGCAAAGCTGGACCAACTGGTATTGGATAAGTTCTGAAGCTAATAATTTGGAAATGATAGGATGGGTTTTAAAGTCAGACATTCAAGAAGCTACAGGGCCACTACAAACATGTACCAGTCTAGAGGCAGGGATCCAAGGCAAATGACACCATGAAAGAAATTTGTTTAATATAAATGTTTAATATTTTTATATTAATCGCTTTGAAATTATTGTTAAGAATGATCAGTAAAACAAGCAAGCAAAACCAAGATCAGTAGAACAAGCAAGCAAAAAGAGTGCCTTTTAGTGCTGAGAGTGAGTTTTGAAGAAAACAAAGAGATGGCTTAGTGCTCTTCCACCCAAAAATCAAGGTTTTATATTAAAGAAAAATTCCACAATCCATTGTGTCTTTGGTACAATTGGAACATTAGTGAGCTACCATCAAAACATCCTTGTGAGAAAACATTCAACACTAATCACACTATGAAGTGCAAAAAAGGAGGGTTTGTTATATGCGTCATAATAACCTGTGCAATTTTGAAAGTAATATGCTTCAGAAAATTTGCAAAGATGTCCAAATAGAACCAAATCTTCAGACAATAAATGATAAAACTTTTGAAAAAAAAGTAAATGAAGCTACACTCAATATTCATGCCTGTGGATTCTGGGGTAAAGCACAACTAGTTTGATGTGAGAGTCATGTACCCTAACTCGATATAAAAAATAGAAATATCTCTAGATAAAATCTATGCAAAACACGAGAAGGGAAAAAAAAGTTACAACAAGAGAGTTATGAATATCAAACATAGAACCTTTTCCCAACTTATTTTTTCCATAACCGGTGGAATGGTCACAGAATGCACCTATATTAGAGTTAAGTTTTCGTTTATAATAATAAAATCTACTCTTCTTTGTCTACATAAATCGAGGTTACCAATGAAAAATCTCTCCAGCACTATAGACAATTTCAGACTGGTATGCGACGATCTACAAACTATTTAATAATTATACCTTGTTATATTTATTAAATAAAACTAAAGTTTTTTCCCAACAAACATGTAAACTTTAGATACATGATTTAAAAATATAATTCAATATATAAATATATATGTTAAAATATTTGCTACAACAAAAATGCTAATTATATATTTTTTGAATTTAAAATTAAAATTTAATATTTAAGATGAATAGTAGACATTTAGTTTTATTAGATCTTTTTTTCACTATAAAAATTGTATTAACATATTTTTTACTTTATCTTAAATTAAAAAAATAAATTTTTAGGCAACTTTTTAAAAACTCAAAAAAAGAATACCATGCCTTTCTGGTAAACTCATTTCTTGGGCAACACGCTTGGACATAGATATTGCTGCAACTCGACGCGGTTCAGTAACACCAATCAAACCAGAGTGAGGACTATAGAAAATTTAAAAAAAAAAAAAAATTAATAACTGTTTTTTTGTTTTTTTTTAATTCTTCTAAATATTAAAAAAACATACTTATGAGTTCCATAACCAGCTTCAAAAAGAAATTGAGGTACTTGAGTTGTTTTACCACTTCCGGTTGATCCGCAGATTATAACAACATCATTTTCTTTAATTGTTTCCATAACCACCTGTTCTTCCGCCAAAATAGGTAGTAATAAACGAGCTGCCTACAAAAACATAAGATATAATCCAACTTTATTCATGATAATTATGCACCTATATTCAAATTATGGTTTTTTTAATATTATTCTAACTCACTCCTAACAAAGTTGCAAGCAACTACTATTAACAAAGCTGCAAGCAACTACTATTAAGTTGGGAGTTACTAGAAAACAAAGAACAAAGTTAAAGAGCAAAGAAACAATTGACAGAAGACTGTGAAAAGTTGTAGGTTGTCAGGAGTCAGGAAAACATGAAGATCAGAGAGAGAGTACAAAAGTTGCAGGGAAAAAAACTAGACAAACAAAAGGTTTTAAAGGGAGAAATACAGTAAATGGATGTGACTTTTACTTTTAAGTCAGAGTTTTGATTGATGGAACTAGAGGTTATAGCTTCTTTGAGCAGGAAATATTTATAACAGTATTTATAGAAAGAATATTATTTATAACAGTATTTATAGAAAAGAGAAAGGGATGTAACCATACGACTAAGGAAGAGAGGCTCAAGCTTGACAGATAAAGCAAAGTTTATCTTGACAGATGTCTATGTTTACTATGCTTTTACAACTATGTTTACAATGCTTTTTAGACCTTGTCTAAAAGAAAAAGAGCATTATTAGAAGAAACAACCTAAATATAACAACATTATTCCATATGGGGAAGAACAATTGCAGATGGTAACTTTGCAATTGATTGTATATCAATAGCTTCCATGAGAAGTCAGTAGTAAACAATAATCCAAGACGATGCAAAGAAGAGGACTCAGTGAGAGGGTTGGCATTCATTAATATAAGAATGTAGACAGTATTGCAATAGTTGTTTGCAGTAAATAACTGAGTTTTGTTGGAGTTAAAATTCACAAGCCACTGCAAGCTCCAATATACTAAAAAAAAGTGAGATCAGATTCAAGATTAACTGCCTGTTCTAAGCAATTAAAATGAGAAGGCAAAGACATAAAAAGAAGTATAAAGTTGAGTTGTCATGAAATACTAAAGGTTGTCAGGAAGATAAGATTCTATTTTCCAGCAAGCAGGAAAACAAGATTCAGTCAAACATTTATTAAAAAGTTTAGAGAGAATCGGAGAGAGTTTTAGAGAACACTTTTATAAAACTCTGACAGGAATATTGCCTGAACCAAAAGCTTCAAAGCACAACAATATAAATACAACAACAATATACAGTATCGGACAACAATATACAGTATCGGACAAAACAAGTGCAACCAAATAATGCTAATTTAGTTTCTTTATTCAAAAGTGCTGCATTTTTTCAATTTAGAAAAATAACTATGTTACTGTTTAGAGACAACATTCTTCAAGTTTTATTCATCACAAATTCATTATTTGTACACGAAAATTAATAAATTATTCAAAAGTATTAAAAAAAGTTGATTTCCTTCTGGACAAAACAAGTGCAACTCCACAATATGTTGACCAAGCTGTATTTCTCTATCAATATTTTGTGGCGAATCCTCTGTTGTCGATCACAGCCTTGGCATATATTCGATCAGGTGATCAATGAAACTTTGTAGAACCGCTGCCCAGGTCTTTTGGATTTGTTCAAACAGTTGATCCTTATTATGAACACTTTCACAATTAATTCTGCGGTTGACAATCTCCCACAGGTTCTTGATAGGGTTGAGATCCGGAGATTGAGGCGGCCAATCCATCACCGATAGGTGGTTGTCTTGAAACCACTGCTTGACTACTTTTGCAGTGTGTTTCGGATCGTTGTCTTACTGAAAAACACATTTTAATGGCATATTCCATTCAGCATGAGGTAACATCTTTCAGGATATTTTTATACATAAAACGGTCCATTATTCCATCGACTCGATGTATTGGACCTGGACCATTAGCAGAAAAACACCTTCAGACCATTAAATTGCCTCCACCATGCTTCACGGTTTTATGGCAGTAACAAAAATCGAGGCGTTTTCCGCCGGTCAACATACACTGCAAATGCCAACGCTCCCAATGATGTTGAACTTCGATTCATTACTTAACAGGACAGTTCGCCATTTCTGCACATTCCATTCAATATGAGATGTAGCAAACAGGAGACTTTTCTTATGGTTCTTTAGTGAAATCAGCAGTTTCTTTGCAGGGCGTCGAGAAAACAATCTGGCTTCAACAGCATGTTGTCTGATTGTTTGGTCCGATACAGGCAGCTCTAATTGCTTTTGTATCTCGACTAATGATATTCAGGGATCCTTCTTGACGGATCTGACAATCATAGAATCCTCTCTAGAAGTGGTGGAACGCGGTCTTCCACCTTTGTTATCTGCTGCTAACTACCCCGTAAAACGATATTTGGAATATAGTCTTTATCACAAATACTTTTTTGTGACATTCCACTTACATAATCGCTAATAATTTTCTTTCTTAGTTCCAAACCAAGACTGTCGGTAGCCATTTTTGCACTTGAAGTCATAAAAATAATAAAAATAAATAATTACGCTTACCTCTCAAGGCTTACCGTGTTACATTTACCTTGTGATGATACAATAATGCTCTGTGGAACACATTGTCTTGGTTGGATGTGGACTGTATTAATGTAATAAAACATTTGTTGTATTTCACTTCTTGTACTGATGTTCTTCAATAAAACACTTTGATAAAACTCACTTCGATAAACTGTCTTGATAATATTGACTGATTGACTTCCATATACTGACTGAATTACATGTCGGTTTACATGTCTCTTATATAGTAAAATGAACCTGTGTGAACCTGTTCTTGAAGATTCTTGATGCTTCTTTTTGATGCTTCTGGGAGCTTCTGGATGCGTCTGGAAACTTCTGAATGTTTCTGGATACTTCTGGATGCTTCCAGGTGTTTCTTCAAGAAATTTCTGGAAGCTTCTGCATGCTTCTGGAAACTTCTGGAAACTTCTGGATAGTTCCTTTAATTATTAAAAAACTTTCGTGACGTTGACACGGACCAGACTTAAGAAAATGAAACAAACCAAAAAAGTTGCACTTGTTTTGTCCGCTGCAAAATGGCACTTGTCAACAAAATTCTGCCTGTGTACTGTCACCTGTCAGCTGATTGCTCATATCATGGCATGCTATGACTCCAGATTCCTGAACTGTTTGCTGTGGTAGCATAGTTTGTTTCGTTTTTAAGACATGTAAAATTAGGAACATTTTTTAGCATTGTTCGATGTTGGTTGCAAATGTTTTGTCCAATACTGTATATATCCCTTGCCACAGCTTTGCAACAAATGTTTCACATTCAACAAGTTAACACACAAAAACAAAAAAAATGTAGACCTGCTTGATGAAGAGGTGAGGGTCATAATAAATTTAGAGATTAAAATTAGAGATTTGCTTTCAAAAGAGTTATTCTTTTGGAAAAAATGATTACAATTAGATATAGCAGCTGTACACGATTGTGAAAACCATGGTGTAGATAGGCTTGGTTTGGAACCAATGAGATGGAATAAAAGCTTCCATACCTGCCTGGATGGTTACATAGTAGGCACATTTATCAGTGGAGAGAGAAAAGACATCAGTCCAAGGACCATCACAAAATAAATCACAAAAAGATTCTGAGTCAATTTTAGGGTATTAGTAACTAGTGAAATGATAAAGTGAGTCAAAAGAAAAAGTAAAAAATAAAAGATTTATAGAAATTATTGCATGCTTGGAACCACCTAAAAGAGAACAAGAAGACACTGAACACAAGCTAGGGACAGAGTCAAGACACAAATCAAAGAGTGAATGTAAGTGATTAAGGTTGTCTGGAAAACAAAAACCAAAGTTAACTATCTGATTAAAAGATTGAGAAATACAGAAGTTATGGGCTTTAATACCAGCAGGGTCATTGGTGTTAGAGCCAAGCCATTCAGTGTTAAGAGAGCCATGCCATTGAGTTGTTAAGAACTAACAACTTTTTAAGACTCAAATTTGAAAAAATGAAAGAACATGAAAAAAAATGAAAGAAAATGAAAAAAAATGTATCATCGTAAGATGATGCATTCTTCTACATGTAAGATCGTATAGATATATCAAATTTAAGTAAAAGCTGAATTTGGACTTAAAAAACACATTTAATTAAAAGAGAAATTTTTTAGAAACTTTAAAGTTTTATAAAAAAAAAAAATTTTGTTATTTTTTTGTTTTTTGTTTTAGGTGTTCCAAGAAGACCTAATGATTTTGCCACGGAGTACATCAGAAGTATTAAACTAGGAAGTTCAAACCTCCTTCTTACCGATGGTGCAAAATGCTTAGATCTTGCTTTGAATCCTAGGTCTCTTGCTTCTTAGCAAGCGCTCTAATCACTGAGCCGCGGTTGCTGTATAATCATTTTGTATAAACTAAAATTATAATTTTTTAGATTGTAATTAACCATAATTTAAAACATGACGAAGAACAAGTGAAGCCAAGTAAATTTTAATTTATTTAAAAAATATATGCTTACAAAAAACAATTTGCGTCGAAATAAAAAATCTAAAATTCAGTAATAATGAGAATTTAAGTTATGGAGTCTTTACAACTGTTAATGTTTTTGAACAAATATGAACAAAAAAACATTTACAACATTTATTGAAAAATTTTGATTGTCAATTTTATAAATGAAAAAGGATTGTTAAGAATATTAGGTCAAATATTCACCTGTTTTTTACCTTTAGGATTTTTTGAAAGCAATAAATAAGATTTAATAAGTTAAGAATAGACTTTGTCTAAAAAAGACTTTTCGAATATTGACTCTGTAAAGCAAATTTATTTCCAAAATGTTTTTTTTTTTTTTTTTAATTGAATTCATGTTCCTATAGCCATGTAGGTCATTTTAGTCGAGGAAGCTACTTATATTGGTTACAACCCTTTCTCAACCCTTTAACTCGGAAACACTTTTCGGAGTTAAAGAGTTGAAAGAGGGTTGTAACCAATGGAAACAGGTTGATATACATAAAATATGTAATATATTCCATAATTATTCTTCTTTATAAATTGAAAAAAACCTTATAGCATTCCAATTTAACTGAAATTTAAATGAAATTTTGAAATTGTTACTGAATTTAACTGAAAGCCAAATTTCTATTTCAACTTCGGGACCAAGTCAAAGCTGAAATCAAAGGCAAAAGTCAAAAGCTAAAGTTAACTTTGCCTTTCAGTAAACTTTGTAATCTGAATTCTCGACGAATATTTGCTGGTCCTTAATTAAAGTCACCAATAACAACAATATTGACAGAGGAGGAAAGGGAAAGGACATGATCAATTTGATCAGAAATTGCATCTAAAAGTGAACAGTCTTGAGAAAAAGAAGAACAATAAAGAATAAATAGAAAGGTGATAGAGTGAAGAGGTGCTAATCAGAAAAACATAAAAGAATGGTCAGAGGATTTAAACCTAACTTCTCAACAAATAGATGAACTGATATCTAAGTATATACCCAAGCCAAGCATGTGACTATTGGAGTCTTTGCAAATAAAAGCATAAATCTAAGTTTAAATAAAGTATACAACAATAAAGTATTTATTTTGAAGTTGAAACAGCATCCATTTTTTTTTTTTTTTTTTGCTGACTGTGGCAATCTGTTCCCTCATCCTAGTATTATAGATTTTAGACATTTACAGCTTATACTTCATCATGTTGCTGTAAAACTTTAAAAACTAAATTTTTTTTTTTAAGAAAGTAATGAACAACATTAGCTTTATTGGTATTTAAGAGTTGGTATTAATATCTACAAATGTCAATCATGAATAAAGATTTTGAATCATGTTTTAAATAGAAATAGTAAGATCATAAGTTTTTTTCAAATATTTTTTACAAATTTCAACAAAGAAAATGAATTTAAAACATTAGTAACACCAAAATTTTCTTTTGGTTTTTATTTTAAGAGGAACTTCTAACAAAAGCTTTATAAGCTTTTTAGGAAATTTAATAGAAAAATTTTAAAGAAGATCAGGAAGCTTCTAAAATATTTTCATATTTTTCAAACAAAGTATTGTGGCAAGTTTTCATTTATAAACAGAAATCTACTTCAACTTTAATTTAAAAATTGTATTTTTTCATTTAACTAAAAAATATAAATAAAATAAAATAAAAAATATAAATAAAAAAAAGATACTAAAAAAAAACTTTTTAATTTTTACTTAATAATTATAAAATCACCGAAAATCAAACAATTATAGAGCTTCCTAATTAAGCTATGAGCATATTTGAAGGATTCAGCGACATATTTTATAAAATTAGCATAATCTGGTTTATATATAAACCCAATAAGTAAATGTTTATGGTTAATTTTAAACCTAAACTTGTTTGAAAAGATTTGTATAATTTCAAGTTATGTCAGTAATGTAGATAGCTACACCACTACATCCAGTAATGTAGATAGCTACACCACTACATCCAGTAATGTAGATAGCTACACCACTACATCCAGTAATGTAGATAGCTACACCACTACATCCAGTAATGTAGATAGCTACACCACTACATCCAGTAATGTAGATAGCTACACCACTACATCCAGTAATGTAGATAGCTACACCACTACATCCAGTAATGTAGATAGCTACACCACTACATCCAGTAATGTAGATAGCTACACCACTACACCCAGTAATGTAGATAGCTACACCACTACATCATCCATCTTGGCAATCTTTAATTTCATTAATCATTTATTTACTTTTTTCAGATTCTTTATTTTACTTGAACTTTATTTGTTGTTTTTTTTTGTTTTGTTTTTTTTCTTTTTCTATTGTTATCTTTTTATTTCTATGCAAAATTTCCAACTTTTTTATTTGTTTCGTTTCCACTCAACTAAACTTGCAACTTTTCCATTTCATTTCTATGCAATCTTGCACTTACAAATAAAAATTACTATTACAATTGGAAAATTGTTATATTCTTTTTTAGCATACATCCTGAACTCAAAAATCAAATTTTAACATCATTTGCCTAATTTATTTAACAATATTAAATTTTCAAAATATTATTGAAGCACTGATAAAAATAAAACTTAGATTAAACTAAGTTTTATAACATTAAAAAAATTTTTTTGACAGTGCAATTAGAGTATTTACTTTTGCTAAAACATCTATTATAGAAAACCAACATTTATCACCACACCTGGGGCATCAAAAGATTACTCAACCTTGTTGCATAAACTTAACATCTAAATTGTCTGCAATTTCGTGCACAACCCTAACGTACCACTTATTATTATACACCCATAGTACAATCCAGCATCCATATAAAAAATCAGTTTTTTCATTTATTGATTGGATTCTAAGTAAAAAGAAAACTAATCAATACACTTTCTAAATTTGTTGCAAAAATAACAATAAAACTGTTGCAATTTTTAAAACTTTCACAAACAGACTTTCTTTTTTCATACAAGAAACAACTATGTAAGCAACATTCTTTGGATTAATTAAGGAAAGGAGATTTTGAATAGCTGTTTTATATTTTCATTGCTAGAGGTGACGGATACCATGACCAAATAATTGACAGCATTCTGAGCAGAATGATTTTTTTTTTAGTGGAATCTTTTCAGTTTCTTTGTCATTGAATTAAGAAAGATAAAGTTTGCAACCACTTCTAGTACACTACCCTCTACAGCAAATAGAACAATAGCAGTTGTCATCTTGCTTCATTTTTCCTAGCTTTCTGATGAAAACCATTTAATTAGGAAGCCTTACAACTTTACTTTAATTTTCTGTTTAAAATATGTTTGTCATCCAACTTCCACAAATTCTAGTAAGATGAGAATTAATGCTCAAACTGAATACAAGGTCAACAAAGTCTTTGATCAGTTGAATCAATTAATAATTGATCATAGAGATTTTATTTTAAAAATCGGGAAAACATTTTGCAAAAAAAAAATCAAGAAAAAATTCTTGGCTTTTTCAATTTTTCTAAACTTAGTTTTTTTTCTTAATTTTTGTATTTCTATATTGGATTATTTTATTTTTATAAATCAATACTCTAACAAATTGCCTAATTTAAACAAATTATCTGTCAAATGATATAGTTTATTGAGATTAATTTGTCTGAATTTTGATGTATTTAGTGATATTCTTTTACATTTAGCTTCTAAATTATAAAAACTTTTGGTTTGAGGCGGACACAACACGATTTGCAAATAGGAACAAAAATAGCCTCAAAAAATACCTCCATTACATAACAGCAACAAAAAATTGGAGTTTAACTTATTTGTAATAAAAGATTTATTTATTCAAATGGAACGACTTCAAAGCTTCACAAAGATGAAAAAAATAGATTGTTTGAAGATGTGATAAAACCTAAAATAAATATGTACTCAATATGTTTTTATTATAAAAAAATGTTCCCTATATTTTACTAAAACGTATAAGAAATATATTTTTATGATATAAAACCACAAACCGATTATTCGACATAAAGTACATAAAACAAAAGTATTCATAAAACAAGTTTACAAAAACTTTTCACGAAAACAATTTATTTTTTTTTGAAACTGTTTTTAAGGATGTTTATTATAAATTATTTAACCATTTGTTTTTGTGGTGATAAACATAGTTTCTATGTTTCATGTTTACTAAATAAATGATTTTTCATGAATAAACTTTTGAATTAATAAATTTTAACATTATTAAATTTTTACATGAATAAACTTTTAATAAGAATTTTAATAAATGTATTGATAAGTTTTTTATTTAGAATCCTTCCTATTAATCAATGAAAAAAATAATTTTGAATTACATGCTGAATATACACCAGATATATACAAGGTACTAATAACAGATGACCTAGGACCTATTAAGTATATACAGGTACTAATAACAGATGATGCATCTTGCTGTAATTTATCTTGCATCTGTGTATATTAACAAGTGGTACAAAGCTATCATATTTCTGAGCAAGGATGTAAACAATTATTACTAAGAGAATTTTTTAAGGGGATTTAACTTCTATAATTTTAAATCAAATGTTACAACTATGACATCTAAAATATTTTCTTATTTCTTTTGTAACCCACTATTATTAATATAGAACTTTCACTGATATCAGTTATACAAACTGCAAGAAAATTCCATTTGAGAAAATCAACATGATGATGATTAAGATAAAATTGGCATACCAGAGATACTTGGTACAACTTGGTACAAATAACATGTAACTATTTTTTGAATAATTGCGAAAAAAAAATGGTAAGAAATTTTATTATAATTTAAAAGCATTAACGAACAAAAAAAAAAAGTCTTACTTGAATATCATTGTTTCTGCTTATTTCAACAAAAAGTGGTTTATTTACAGAAGCTGGCGCACTTTCTTTTACTATATTGACAGGTGTTGAGACACTATCTTTAGCTAAATTAATAGGTGTTGAAATACTATCTTTAACAAGATTCTCAGATGTTAAAGCACTATCTTTGACTAAACTAACTGGTCCTTTTATGATATCGTTAACTAAACAAAAATTTAAACAATTAGTAAATTAATAAACTAAAAATAACCGCTTAACAAATCTATGTATACAGTATGTAAATCATTACAAATCTTTAAAACGAACTTTTAATTTTTAAACACCAAAGTCATTTTTGGATGGCTATTTACATTTAATTAAAAAAAAATTAATTTACAAAATTCAAAAAAAAAGCACACGCGGCAAAACACCAAACAACATGTTAGGTACCATATATTACCATAATATTTTTGTCCCAAAGAATAATAAGTAAAGTCTCAAAAGAAATTTTATAGAAATTTCATAAATATACTTTTTCTTTTTAATATAACCTTTTTAAAAAACATATTGTTGAAAAACATATTAAAAATGCCTCTTTTAAATTTTTGAAGAGAATGCCATGTTTGTCAAGATTGTTTTAAAGTTAGAGGATTAAGAAAGGGACAACAAAAAATTTAAATTATTTTAGAAATTTTTAAAATCGACCAAATTTGGTAAAACCTAAGGATCAAACAATGGACTCTTATCCCTTATAGAACAAATATAGATATATTTAGTTTGAATATAAAAACAGTATGAATATAAAAACATGTAATTACATTTAAATAGTATGAATATAAAAACATGTAATTACATTTAAATAAATATAAATAAGTTGCACACCTACCTTCAACATTTTGCAGTTTAATAAAATTTTTGTTTAAATCTTTTTGATTATCTATTTCATTATTATGATCTACATTATACACATCTTTAGTTATTTCAATATTTTCTTTTTTAATTTCAATATCTTCTTTACATTCAGAACTTTCATTTTCTGAGTTTTCTTCATCAGAGTTTGATTCGTTATTTTCTTTTGAATCACATTGCATAACAAAAGTGGAAGAATTCTCTTTTGATTTTTGTTTCCGATTTCGCCGTCTTTTAGATATAGAATTTATTTCGGTGGCAGAGTTCGATTCAACAGCTACTTTCCTTTTAAAAATATTATTTCTTTTAAAAATAAACAACTCAAATAAATTTATCAACTATTCAAGGTAATTGAAAACAAACCTTTTTAAGGATTCCGGCTGGCCTATCTTAGAAGTTGATTTATAAAGAGAAAGTTCTTCTTTAGATACTTGTACATTAGCCAATGATGCTAAAATTTCAGCACGCTAAATTATGAAAAAAGAAAAATACTCTTTCAAGATCTTGAAATTACTTCTTGTACCTTGCATAAATTATGCCTTGCATAATAAATAACAAAATTAAACAGTGAAAAAAAAATTAAAATAATTAAATATAACCAACAAAATTGAACAGTTTCAAACAAAAATAACATAATTTTATCTAAAATGTTCAAAAAGTTAATTGAAACAGATTGAAACATAAATAACATAACTAAGCAGTTTATTATATAACATAATTAAACCAGTTATTGCATAAGAATTTTAATCCAGACCTTCTGGACAGACCTTCTGGACATTTATACAGGTAAAAAAGAAAAAGTAGAGTTAAAAAATTGTTTTCCTGTGATAAATGTTTTTCTTTCTTAGACACTGCCTACTAAAACCTTTAATGTATGCATTTAATCAACTGCAGATAATTATTTCAGTATTATATCATTATCTGATATTTCATGGGCAGCTAAACCCAAATTAATATGTATGTATGTATGTATGTATGTATGTATGTATGTATGTATGTATGTATGTATGTATGTATGTATGTATGTATGTATGTATGTATGTATGTATGTATGTATGTATGTATGTATGAATGTATGCATGTATGTATGTATGTATGTATGTATGTATGTATGTATGTATGTATGTATGTATGTATGTATGTATGTATGTATGTATGTATGTATGTATGTATGTATGTATGTATGCATGTATGTATGTGGTTTGAGAAGAACACAGCAGAAATTTGAATGTTACAGAAATTTCTGAAAAAAACCTTTTTAAGAAAATAATGTGGTAAAAGTTACAAAAACAAATTTAAAAATTTACAAATATGGTGGAAATGGCAGTTACTACATGTAATTTTTTAAGGATTGAACTCCTATAATTTAAAAACTCATTTGAACATTTTTTTGAGGATTTCATGAGTTCAACTGTATATTTAAAGGTTCCATGATTTCTTGATAAGATTTTAAATCTGACACAACTTTTATCTAATCTTTTGTTTTATATATCTTATTATTTTAATCTTTTCTTCTGCCCTTTTGTTTTAACTAGCCTTTTCTTTCGTCGTTTTGTTTAATATAGCCTTTTGCTTTGGACAAAAACCTATTGCTTTTGTTTTTCAACATCTTATTTCACTTTTGGGAAAGTGACTTTAACTTTTTGGTTTTATTTGCTCTAACTTTAATCAAAAAAATTTAATCCAAATAAAAAAAAATTTCTTCATAAAAAAAAATACAGAATCTGCCATTGAGTTGTTAGCGCCATGTTAACAGATAAATTAAATAATAAAACAAAAATTATTTAGTAACAAATATTCTTAAAAAGTAATAAAAATATGTAAAAAAAAACTTTTTTTTTTAAACATGGTTCACTAACATGGTTAAATTAAAAATCAATTAAAAAAATCAATAAAAACCAATGTCAATATCATACCAATTTAATCGATAGAATCAATAAAAAAAAAAGATAAAAATAAAAAAAAATTCTGAACTTCTTATGAATTTCTGTGATACTAAGATTTTTAAAAAAAGTCAACAAAATAGATGTGATAATAAAAATGTTACAAATATTTGAAAATTGTTTAACTCCTAAATGTGTGGCACCATTAAAGAACATCCATTTATTTTAAACACTGTTTATTGTAAAAAGTCAAGCATAGCTAACTTAAGGAATGTAACTTAAGTTGACAAAATACAACTACCAATGTTAAAAAAACATAAAATAAAGAATTCAAGTAATAAAACGTTCATGTAAAAAGTCCAAATATCGTACAGCAAAAGCAAGTCCATAAAAATTAGATGGTTTTCAGCATATACAAAAACACAATGTTGTGAGAAAAAAATAGCACGTTATCGTTTCAAAAAATATACTTGAAGTAATTACTTTGTTTCATAATTAGTATACATCCATAAAAATAACAAAATATTACAAAAAAACACCTGCTCTTTTTTTTTTTTTTGCTCAACAATCTGCAGCAATTTTTTCTTCTGTTTTTTAGTAAGTTTTTTTTATCTTTTTTTCATTTGAAGGATTAACTTTTTTAACAATTTTTTTTTTTGCACTTAAGATCATTACATTTGTTTCATCTCTCGTGCTCTTATATTCTTCATCTTCGAGTTTTACTTTTTTGGCAATCTCAGAAGAGCTTTTTTGCAAATCTTCAATAGACTGTGATGAAATTTGACGAGCTTTTTTATTAAAACACTTTTTAAGTTTTGCCATTTCTAACATTTCAAACATTAATAATTAAATTAAACAAAAGTTGATAAAGAAAACAATGCAACATAATAAAAATAGCATTAAAATAAAAATAACATTTCATAAAAACAAACTGAAAATTGAAAATGATTAAAACTGATTTAAATAGTAAAATACTTTAATTATAAAATAAAATAACTATGGTAATTATTATCAAAAAAAATTACAATTATTATGAAATGAATATTATAACTTTTATAGTTCAAAATAAATATTGTTACCATGAAAAAAAAAATACATACATACTCACTTTAGCTGGCTTAGGTCAGCAATGTCATAATACACTTGCACAACTTAAGCGTTGACTTTGCACAATTAAAGATTTAAAATCCCAACCTTATTACCAACAGTTTTTTAACAAAATGAAAAAACGTTTTGCTAAAATAAATGTCCTTTATATTCAGATATTACCTGCCCAAACCCAAAACCTCAGTCAATGTATTAACTAAAGTTCCCATAGATGGCTTTTTCTGAAGTAAATGAAACATTAACAATTTTTCATGCTATGCTAATTATGCAAAGATATTGGCTATATTAATTATAAAATTAATTATGCAAAGATATTAGTTATATTAATAATAAAATAAATTACTTAACTAATAAATATTCAAACATTTTAAAAAAATTTTAATTTGTTTTTAATTTTTATATTTTTAATCCACATCTCTACTTTTTTAAATAACTGAACTATATTTTTCACAACTTTTTACTTCCATTAAACAACATTTTATAATAGTAACATTAAACACCCCAACGTTTTTTTATTCATCTATTCTTATATATATTCTTATATAAAATACTGCTCTTGTATCTGTGCTGGCTTTAAATCCCTCATTTATTCTTTAATAAAAAAAGGCTCTTGTATCTGTGCTGCCTCATTAAATTTTGTTTCTTTTATTAAAAAGGTGTAAGCCTTTGCTGACATTAATTAACCTTGAATATCTTTTTTGAATATTACTTTTTAACTATAAGTCTCTTTTTTAAAGGACTACAACCTTACATTTTTTACAAGAATTTTTACAACAATTTTTAATATAATGACTCTTTATAGAAGTCAAGTCTAATTTTTTACAATGTTTGGTGTCCCCAAACATTGTAAAAAAAAGTTTAATAAAATTAATTGCATTGCCTAATAATTTTTTTTTATATGTGACAAATTTCAATAGGTACCGTCTAGAAAGTTCCTACACAATAAAACAACAACATGATTAAAATTTTAGCAACACTTTGATTTCCTCCAAGCTTTTAAAAAAAAAATTATCATTTTGGCCATCAAATATTTCAGCATTGATAGCTTGATAAAATATTGTAAACTATTTATTATCTGCTGAATATTAAAATATTTAATAGTTTATATATGTGGATGGAAACATTTTAAAACTACAAACAAGAATATATAGACTATATTTTGTTGATAAAGGATGCTGATTCAAACAAAATTTAGAAAGATCAACTAAGTTCAGGCAAATTTAGGAGAATCAATTAGAACTAATTAAATATCGAAACATTTATCTTTGTTGCAAAAGGAAAATTTTTTTGTTGATACAAGTATCAGTATGCAAGTTTGCAACAAAAACAGTTTTTCTGCATTTCATTTTTTGTGTCTGGATGAATTAAAATGCTGAACAAGACAACACCACATTCAGCTAAATCATTGACACATGCCAAGTTCATTGCTAACTCTGCAGCCACCTGGAATGAACTGATGTCCTACCAATGGGAATAATTTTGGTTGCAATGCTCATAAATAAATTCTTTATTTGTTTGGAAAACTTATTAAATTATTTCAGATATTATGATTCAGATTAGATCATACTTTAAGGAATTACTTAAAAATTAAGATATCTGGATCAGCCAATGGTCTTTGACATATACCAAAATTATTAATTAAAATAACTTTAAACACATGTTGGCATGCCAGCAACAGCAAATTCCATCTCACTTAATTTTAAAGAAGAGTATATGCACCATTAATTCTCCCAGTGTTGGAGGAAAATGTATCTAAACACAAATAAATAAGATGTTTATCAGACAACCAGGATTTCAACAATTCAACCACTGCTTTAGCAGCTACCTGTCTAGTTCCAGAAGTCAATTTGGGTACATCAAGAAATTTAGTACTTCCATCATTATACAAGGAAAAAGAACAAGCAACCGGTCTTTATGTTTGCTCTCTACACCAGTGGCAGCAGGAAGGAATTTTCCATTCAAGTGAGCAAATATTCCCCAGTTTAAAAGTCAAGGTTGATTAAAGCAGCAGAAACTTACAAAAAAATTGCATTGAAAATATTTAGATTCTATTCATGCTTAAACAATATCCTGATGAAAATTACGTTTTTTGGCTTCGACTCGTTATGCAAAAAATATCATCGCTTTGCTAGACAGTGAAAGCATCAATTGTGTTCTTAAGAATGATAATCCTGCTAATTGTCCTGAGATAAAGCTAATCAAAGACTTTTGGGCTTATTTGAAAAGTTTAGTCTGCATGGGAAAGTGGGAAGTAAAAAATGTTCACAAATTAATTGGAAGAATCAAGTATTGTTAAAAAAAAAAATCATTCTAGAGGAGGTACAGACGTTTACGAGCTTGATTAAAAGAAGAATGCAGTTCGTCTTAAAGGATTACTAGAAAAGAATTGACAATTAACAATATTAAATGTACATATGTCCAGCAAAATAACCTTCATTTGATTTTTTTTTTTTTTTTAAATACTTATACTTTTTTTTTAAATGTTTAATCATAGTACTACTTTTGAGGAAACACCAGTTATCAAATAATTAAAAAAAAATCTATTTAAATTTTTTAAGATTTTTCTGGTCTTGTAAGTTAATTATTTTTTATTTTTAAAAAAATTACAATATATTTAAACAATTACATTTTATGATAAAAATTAAAGACTATAATGCTATAAATGCATGTTTAGATGTGCGACGTCACAGTGAAATAACCTGCTGCCTGGGTTCATAAAAGTTTGGAAGTGATTGACATAAGGGAAGGGTAGTATAAAATAAACTAATCAATTGATGTTTAAACTTATCTTAATCCTATTTTTATGCTTAAATTGGCATCAACTTTAAATTTCTGTGAAATACTTTCCTCCCTCCCACCTCCCCCACCAAATCCTTATTCTTTAAAATGGATATATATTTTTGTTTAATATTTTGTATATTTTATTATATACCTTTTTAATATATTTAAAAAAATTATTTTTTGGATGATAAAAGTTTACTGGAATCTCTAACACCTTTTATGTGAAACCTTTTAATGAGTAAGGTAAAAATCTGACTAAAAACATAACTAATATTTACTTATTTTACATTTTTTGCACTTTTCTGATTTAAATATGATAATTTTTATAAAAACTATTTCATTGAAGATTTGTATCAACTGTAGATAATGATATCATTGTGTCTTCTGATAAGAAATTTTTAAATTACTGTTATTTTTTTTCAACCTTTTTTAAAATCATATAGCCAAATGAGGAACGCTTATTTTTGAAAAGATTTATGTTGAATAAAAAAGGTCCAGAAACATTTTACAAGATAAAAGTCGATAAAAGATGTTATAATCCTTATAAAGATTATACTTCAACATTTATTATCTTTATACTTGACTCTCTTGAATGCCATAGAATAGAGTTTGACCTTTTAATGACCTACAAATTATACACAATATTGTTGATTTACCTTATCCTAAATTTTGAACATTTGTTTTTATTTATTATTCAAAAGAAGTCGTTCCCAAAAATATATTACACATAACAAAAACACATTAATAATATATAAAGATTTTTTTTCTGCAAAAGAACTATAAAAATATGGAGTTCTCTACACAATCACATGACTTATTCATCTCGTCTGTTTAATACAATATTTGTTTAATAAATAAGCTTTTATGTAATTCACACTGATTACCTTTTCTCTCTTGGTGTTACTTAAGAGTTTTTTTTGTATTAGTCGCATCACTTTTTTGTATTTTTCTTTTAATATAATTAAATTGAATAATTTTATCCTATTAAAAAGGTATAACATATTGTCAGAAGTTATAAAATTTATACGTTCAGTTTAAAGGAATAGCCCATAATACAATCAATAATTATTTTTTCATCATTAAATTATTAATATTATTATTATTTTTTCAATAAACAAACATTGTAACAATTTATTAGGTTCAATTTTAAACTTTTATTAACAATAATATAATTATTGTAAAATTTATTTTATTAGGTTCAATTTTACATTTATAATAAAAAATATATAGTCACAATAACAAACCACTTGATGACATTACTTCAACTGGTAGGTCAATTATCTTGTTATATCTTAAGTCAAGTTTGCCTAATCCGCAAAGAAAATCAGATAATGATTCATTTAAAAAAGTCAATTTGTTATCTTTTAGAATTAAAGAAGAAAGTTTTTTTAACTTGGAAATATTAATTGGAAAATAAGAAAACAAATTAATGCTCAGATCTAAATAAATTAATTTTTGAAGTTTTTCAAATGAATCTGGAACTGTTTCCAAACAATTATTTGACAATCTGAGCCATTTTAATGTTTCTAAACAACCAAATTCTTCAGGCAGCTTTTTAATATTATTACTGCCTGCACTTAAATACTCTAAATTTTCTAGCAAGCACATACTAGCTGGCATAGTAGACATTTCAATATTGTCAATAAACAAGTATCTTAAACACTGGTAGTTAGCAGTTTCATCATTTATTACAAAAGAAATAGGGTTATGCGACAAACATAAATACTTCAATTTACTTAAATTTTTAATACCAGCGGGAAGCATAGAAAGTTTGTTGTTTTCTAAGTGCAATTCTTCTAGATTAGTAAGTTTTTCGATTTCTCTAGGTGGCATGATAAGAGACGCATCATTTAGCAGCAATACTTTTAATTTATGCAAATCGCCAATTTCTGGTGGTACTATTACTAATTTTCTATGACTTATATTTAACGTTGAGCTGCCTCCCTCTTTACAAGATTTGATTATATTCGTAACTTCTGTACAAGTCATATTTGACCTAGTACACTTAGCAAATAAATTAAGTACTAAGGCCCAAGTAACATTCTTCTTTCATTATTGTTTAAACAAAAATACAATTTTACTTAAAGTGCTGAGCTATTACGTTTATTTTTTTAGTAACTGTTCCAAAACATAAGCACATGGGTCAAAATTAGTTAAAACAGAACCGGACATTGTTTATCTTAAACCAAGTAATCGCCGGAGGTTTTCTAAGATCGATACGGTAACGATAAAAATGGTTCTGAAAACGTGCAAGGTAACGCTTTTTGTTTCTAAGCGAGAGCATTTATTGAATTCAAAATTTTATCAGTTTTTTCTTTATCAATTAAAAAGCTCCTAAAACTTAGGTATTTGAGTTTTGATTATTTGAGTCTATACCTCAATAAGTAAAATCTAATTAATAAAAAATTAAAGATAAAAAAACTATATATGCAGTGAACGCGGTAACGAAGGAGAAAGGGGCTATGGGAATTATGGAGTTTTCAACTTCTTCCTTTTTGCCCACACATGTTTTTCATGTTTTTTTATCCCAGTTATGAAAACTTTTTTATTAAAAAGCTATTTAAACTTGCATTCAGAATGCAAGAAAATATTGATTCTATTGCATTGATGTTTAAAAAAAGATTCTATTTGCACGCAAACGAAATTTTTAGAATTTTTTTTTTTTTTAGAACCTTTTTTATATATATATATATATATATATATATATATATATATATATATATATATATATATATATATATATATATATATATATATATATATATATATATATATATATATATATATATATATATATATATATATATATATATATATATATATATATATATATATATATATATATATATTATTTGTTAATAAAATAGGGATGAAAATTTTCTGGAATTTTCAACTCTGGAAATTTTCCAGAAAATTTCCGTAAATTTTAAAAAAAAGGATAAGTTGTTTTTAAATAAATTGGTATAATTTTATGTCTTATTTAGGCGGTTGCTAAAGACAATTTTATGGTAAAATATTGTGAAGTAGGCTATAAAAATTTGAGAAAAATCTTTTTGAAAAACTCTTTTTTTAGGTATTTTGTTGAATTTTTTTTTTAATTGTAACTATAAGTAGCAACTATGATAATTTGTTTCAAAAAATTTTTAAATTGTTTTATCCTGTTATTTGCTAAGCATATTGGCGTTCATTGCTGTAGCAAGCTCTGTTTAAGGCTAAACATAATTTGCATACACGTCCCTAAAGGAGAATGGGTATTTTTCAATGCCTATTGGCCTACAAGTTACTTAAAATTATGAAATTTTATATAAAAAGACCTGGTTAAAAATTTAAAGTAATTTTAAAAAATTTTTTGATTTGACCAAGTTATTGATTAATGAAAGGCAAAAAGTGAAGAAAAGTTTTTTGCTAAATTTGAACTATTTAAAAATATAGTTAGCAAAAAAATTAAGATTCGAGGTCGTAAATCGCTCCAATCATAAAATTGTGAAAAAAGTCCTCTATATCAAAATTTTTTTAAAAAAGAAAAGTTCTTTTAGAAAAAAAGAAGGGGGGGGGGCGGAAAAAAAGTGAAAAACTCCCTGCCCCCTCCCCCCCCCCGGTATTTCCCCTATACCGTATTTTTTAACCAATACTGGTTGTTTTTTTTACGTATATTACTATTGTGGAAAAACGAATGATGTAATAACAGATTACCGTAGGCGATTTGTGAGTGTGTTTTATAAGTGCCCTACCAAGCAAATTAGCCTATTATTATTTTACTGAACATTCAGATCAAATGTGTTTTCTAAAGTGTCATTTTAGATAAATTTTTATAATCTAACACAACGAGAGCATTTATACCTTTTATAAAAATGTTTTAAATGCAATTTTTATACATGAAAATCTTTCTATCTTTTTTAAAATTTTATATGCAATCTTTACCCATCAAATTTTTTGTTTCTTTAAAGCACAGAAGAAAAGTTATACACAATAAAATTTTCTAATCTAAAAAGATTTTAATCTTTGTCTTTTGTGAATATTTTACATCGTAGTTGAAGTAAAAGAAATATGTTATACAAGCTAACTCGGAAAATATCTTCTTTTTGTTGTTTTAAAGAAGTAATATACGTAAAATATTTAAAAAATACCCAAATACAACGATGGTAAAACGCATATTTTTGAAACAAAGAAATGAGTTTTATAAAATTATAAAAGTTTGACGCAGTAAAAAGTTTTTAAAAATTTCCAAAAATTTGAGTAAAATTTCCCGGAAAATTTCCGGAAATTTTCAATCCTAAATAAAAGATTCTAATTAACCATGGCAACCATGGAAGTATTATAGTAACCATGCAAGTAACCATGGCAACCATGGAAGTATTATAGTATTACTTCCATGATTTAACAAATGATTTTTTTTTTCCATTAAAAAAGAACCGTAAAAAAAAAATTTATCCGAATTAAAATTAATACGAAAATGCCAATTTTAAGCGGTTGCGGTTAAACCTGTATATTAATTAGCAAGAAGTTTTTTTTACAGAATGCCAAAGATTAGAATTCAGACATGAGCATAAAACATTATTATTGGTAGAACCCAACAAAGATGTCTTTATCCCAACATCACAGAATTTCAGCAAACATGTAGCAAACAGAAGCATGTAGCACGTCTTATTAATTTTAAAGATCGTTTTACTCATCTCAGGCCTTTATTATTAAACATGAATATTCTTAATATTTACGAAGCAAATGTATTTAACGTTCTTTGTTTTATGCTTAAATGCAAAATTAATGCTTGTCCTGCTTCTTTTCATAAGTTAAGTTCAATGAAAGAAAAAAATAAATATATATCAAGAAATAATACACATATCCAACAATCAGTTTTTCAATCAAATATAGGCAAATCTTGCATTCAACACCGTGGAGCCTTTTTATGGAACAAAATAGTTTTAAAACACTTTGATTTTTTGCATAATTGGAATTATTTTTCTTTTGAAAGAAAACTAAAAGAAGTAATTTTTTCAATTGATAACATATTTTTATATTTTTAAATTATTACCTATTCCACAAAATAATTAAGGAATTGTAATCTGAACGACAATATTTTTTGGATTACATATTATATATTATATATTGACATTACATATATACTGATGAAAACTGATTTAATTTTTCGAGCTTTTGTTTGCTATTTTTGTTTGTTTGTTTGTTTTTGCATAATATTAAATATTGAGAAATATTATATACAGTATGGTGCAAAACTGAACCAGAGTTTTTAAAAAAATACAAAATTATGGTTTATTTTGTTTTCGATATATTAGCGCTGTCTGGATTATTACAGTAGTAAAGTGCTAATTTTTATGACTTTTTATGCCTCCTCCTTTTACCCCAATTCACAAGTATTTTTATCTAGTGACAAACATCTTTTGACTCAGTTTTGCACCATACTTGATGAAGGCAATATCTTTATTATTTTTCTCAAATTAATTTTATAATTTTGAGTGCAAATAAATTGACTATATTTATATCTAAAATAATTTTCTGTTTTCATAAATTTTATTGTTTAAATTTATTGCTTTTGATAGTTTTTTAATAAAATGAGAATTTCAAAGACAGAGAGCAATTTAATAAAAAAGATGATTGAAGAAGGAAATACAACTCGTAAAATTGCTTCTAAATTAAAAGTTAGTCAAAGTATTGTGCAACGAATTAGAAAAAAATGTGGACATATTCTGAAAAAAAATGTTGGCGGTCGACCAAAGAAGTTGAGTGCGGTAGACAGTAGAAGAGTAATCAGATATTTGACTACTGGAGAAGCAAAATCGACATCTCATGCAGCTAAACTTTTGCAACGTGATACAGGAAAAAATGTGAGCAGGTGGACAGTGCAGCGAGATCTCATAAAAAGTAAATTTCGAGCAATTGAAAAGAAGAAAAAACCATTACTTAGTAAAAAAAATATCAAAGCAAGATTAAACTTTGTAAAAAAATATGAAAACTTTACCGAAGATGATTGGAAGAAAGTTATTTGGTCAGATGAAACTAAAATTAATCGGTATAGCACAGATGGCCGCCAATGGAGCTGGAAAAGAGAAGGTGAAGCATTAACCCAAAAAGATTTTATTCAGACAGTAAAACATGGGGGAGGCAATATTAAACTATGGGGGTGTATGACGGCTTATGGATTGGGACCTATTCGAAGAATAGTTGGAAACATGAATAAGGAAATGTATCTTGATATTTTACAGCATGAATTATTGGAAACTGTTGAAAATATGCCTTACCCAATAAATGAGGTCATCTTTCAACAGGACAATGACCCAAAGCACACTGCTAAAATGGTTAAGAATTGGTTAGCTTTGCAGGACTTTCAAGTGCTAGAATGGCCAGCACAAAGTCCTGATTTGAACCCAATAGAAAATTTGTGGTCACAATTAAACTATATAAATATAACTATTCTGACTCTTAATGTGTTAAACTAATCATCCATTAATGTGTTATATGAACGAGTTCAAGAACAGTGGAAAAATATTTCGTTAAACCTTTGCGAAAATCTTGTAAAGAGCATAAATAGAAGATTAGCAGCAGTTAAAAAAGCTAAAGGATTATGGACAAAATATTAAAAATTGACAAAATTGACAAAAATTGACAGTTTTTTTATGGTGGTGCAAAAGTGATTCACCATGTTTTTCATTTATTATTTTGTAAGTAAATATTTTTCTTCAATAAATACTTAATAAAAATTGTTTTTTTAATAATAGTTCCTACCAGCAATATTAATTCTCAAAATGCTTAATTCTTTATAAGAAAATAAAAATATTATGCATTCTGGTTCAGTTTTGCACCATACTGTATATATATTTACATATATTATAAAATATTGTTAAAACTTGCTTAACATCTGAAGAGTATTATAATATATAAACCCATTTTAAAATTATTTTAAATATTTGTAAATTTATTTATGTATTTTGACTCTTAATATAGATTGTAAAGGGCTTCATGATAAGATCGTGTACCTTGTACATATTATTCTAGGAAAAAAAAAAAAAAAAAACATGCTTTCGTTGGACCACAGTATTACCACCGTCAGCAAAAATGCTTATTTTACTGACGGTACTTGTCGGCGGATTCTTTTGTATGGCTTCTTACTGCTGGATATTTTAAAATTAAAAAACTGCGTATATATTTTTTTTACAATTGGCAATAAGTTTTTTAATA